TTATGAGAGAGTCATACAGCTCGTAATCAACATTCACTTTGGATTTTGAAGCACATTTAACCTTGGTACATACAAATAAAATTATGTTAATATGAGTTCAAATTCGTTGTTGACCAGTTAAATAAAGTAATGTTAAACCAAAACAAATGGTTCATACTATTCACACTCGTGTAGGATTATTCTAACTAATTATGTTAAAAAATTAATCCAATTACAAAAATATTGTTGATGGAAAAATAGTTCTGCACATGTTTGAAAGAGGCACAAATTAACAGTAAAAAATATTGTAATGTTATCTACATGTGGTATTATCAACATGTGGTGTTATCAACATAAGATGTTATCAACATGTGATGTTATCAACATAAGATGTTTTCAACATACTCTGGAAGACCTCCTCTTGAAGTCAGGTTCGTCCGGAATCAACCACGACATCTTTCTCTTCTTAGTTTTCTTTTTTGATGCGTCAGCTGTTCATTAATTATAATAATATCTTCATTATATAGTTTATGAGGTCAGAACATAGGAATATAACAGATTCTCAAGTATTAATCATGATAAAAATTGAAAAATAAGCTAATAAAATGTCAAAAGCTTGCAGACAATTATGGCGAAACAGCTTTAAAAATTTCAGTGCATGGCTCAAAAAAGAAATCCTTCAAACGTTTAAAGACGTCATTTTCAGGATTCGAAACAGTTCTATCGGCGTGTTTGTCGTTCACCAGTACATCCGGTTCATTTGTTGCCCGTTGTTTCGTAATGCTTGTTTCATGGCAGTCAACGTTCGCCACTGCACTCTTATCACTGCCATTCACTTCAGTTGACGGATCATTAACGAGGAGTGTATGGGTAGAAGTTGTTGTTGTTGGTGGTGGTGGTGTAGTTCCAAACGCAACGGCATTATTATCGCTGGAATGATTTCCTTCAACATGCATCATTTCCTCATCTTTCTCATTCTCGTTTCTCTTACCTACCAAACCAACAGCACCAGGCGATTCTAAAACGTTATCATTGTTTTCGATGCTACTTTTCATCTCACCACTTTTATCGCCAATAGGATTATGCAACTGACAACTGGGCCCACCATATTTATCTTGCCCATTCAACAAATTGTCCTCAACATGACCAGATTCGTGATTGACACCGTTGATTCTAGATTCACTGCCCTTCAAAACATTCCAGATGTCCACATCCAAACTGTCGGTCCAGTTCATCATTCCAGCAAACGACTGGAATTAATAAAAAAAAAATAATTAAAATATACATTTAAAAAGTAAAATTCAATGAATTGAACCAAAAACACTACAAACAAACTGACCAATGACGACGACGATGACGTCACAGTGTCATACAATGTCAACAAACATTCACCCAATGATTGCCATCTGGTAATTAACGATAATAATATTATTTGGCCATTAATAATTATAAAATTGTTTCATAGTCATCTGCAAATTATAACATTGGTACACTGTAGATATTTCAAATTCTTTCAAAAATTAGAAATAGACTGTAAAACAAAAAAAAAATAAAGACCTGGAGCCAAATCTTCAGTTGCAATTTAAATGAAGAGAAAAAAAATCACTTGCAAGTAGTAAAGTTTGTATATAAATGAATGAAATTAAGATGCAAATTGACGATGTAATCTGTGAAAAACATATAAAATTTCTGACTGCTATATATTGACAGGTTGAAGATAACATTAATGTGAATGTGCCACATGAATGCACGCTGAGAACAAACATTCTTAGTGGAATTTCATCAATTTGATAATTTTAACACTCCTTACAATTTCAACAATTTAAAAAAAACAGTAAAACAGACATAAATACGCATTAAAAAGTCAGGCAAATAGCCATTATGAAAATGTAAGGCGTTCAGGAACATGGAAACAAAACGTATAGTTTGTGAGAAAAAAGTGACGTTGGTAGAAAAAAAAGTGGCGTTACTTCAATTGCGATAATGGAGGATGAAAATTGAGATCCGGTAGTGGTAGCCTCTTCAGAGATTGTTCGATCCTCTGGCTCCTTTGCTCTATTATCCTATTGATCAACTGGTCATAAATGGAGAAATAAGAGATTAGGAACAATTTATGGCGTCATGTTAATCTTCTACCTTATGTGAAAGTTAAGGATATTATGTCATACTATATTGTAGTCTATAAACTGCTAATAGTTAAATATTTTATCAATGTTTGATGTATATGTTTTTAAAATATTTAAACTGAAATTGTTTCACAACTTATCCTTATTTTTGTTTAGAAACCATTTTTTGTCATTAAAAAAAATTATAACAAAATGCACCAGGTTTGAAGTTTGAAAAATGGAATGAAAAAAGTGTATGCATGGTCTAACATAATAATGAAATAACTCTGTAAATTTATTTTATAAATTTATATTTATTTTAAACAAAACAACTGAAGCTCCTTCCAGTTCATAAGTTTCAGTAAAAGCAAACCAACACAACTAATGATTCGGATAATATGGTCATACAATTAGATATACAGTAGTAGGTGTGTTCATACATAAGGCACCCACCTTGTCAGATTCTTCTTGTGGAATCTCAACATCGTATATGTTGTAACTGAAAGATAAACAAATAAATAACTAAATTAATTTATCCATTCTTACATTAAATTCTAATAAAAAAATTAAAAAAGTGTTTTCACAGAAAAACAAACAAAACTAACGTAAATTGGAAATTGTTGTTGAACCAGGCTTCATAATGTGGAATATTCTTAAATATGTACCTCATCATTATGATTCCAGGCTTGAAGTTAGCATTGCACTGCAGTGCTGTGTGTATGTACCTCAGGCAGGCTAAGATGTTCAAACAAAAATATTGTCAACCAATAAACTTTTTCACATAATTAGTTAATTATAAATATAACAAAATGCACAACTGTTACATAGTGTTTCATCTAGCATCATAATGTTTGTCTATTTTGAATAAAAATGATAATTCAATAATCTTATTATCATGTAAAACCTTCGTAGTTCTCCAATATAAAGAGCACCGACACCAATCTTGACAGTGTAGGAATGTGATGAGCATTACATTTGAAAGCCTTTCAATCACAAAAAAAAACTGATCAGTGTAATAAAAATTTTGCCAATTTTTTTTCAATTTTAAACCTCCAATATTATTCTGAAAAATAATTGTAAAATTTTTTGTGACTTTTAAAAACATGAGCCAACCATTTCATAAGCATGTCTGGCCAGGGAATAATTAATGAGTGATTCAGACAACTGTCCTATCTTGTACCACATGCACACATCTGAATCATCAACCTCAATTGCCTCAAAAATAAAGAAACATCATTTTTGAATATATAATATTAATAGAAACATATTTAAAATAATACTTGATTTTTGTATATATTTTGTATATATTTGTATATATATATAATATATATATTGGATAAAGACTGTCAGAAATGAAATTATTGATGAAAATCACAGTACGTTCCACATTAGTTGGCTTCCTGCTTAATTCTTCAATTTATCAAACGGCAGATTGTAAATGATTGTCAAGTTTTGTGTTTCTCTCTCATGTAATTCTTTATAGCACCAATTTGTGTATCCATAGTGAGTTTTCTCAATAGCTTGGACGTTGTCATAGCAATGTATTCGGAATTATGTAAGTATATATATATATGTGTGTGTGTTAAAAATTACATGTACGAAAGAGAATCTTTTTATTATAATACATTTAAAAAACTAACTTTTATAAAATACTCTAATGCTGAATTCGGTTGCTTGCTGCTCTCAAACAGCTGAGCCAAATTTTTATAGATTGAATATTTCAATTTCTTGGCAGATTTGAAAATGATGGAAGTTCCTTTCTCATCTGGCTATAATAAAATTTAAAAAAAAAAATACAATGAAAGTTTTATAAGGACAAGTAAGATTGATTAATTTATTAAATAACACTAAAAAAACAATTGATAAATATTTCTATATATGCAATAGGAGTCAACCCAAAAATGAGACAATGCAATAATTGCTGGGTTAACCCTTTCACATTCAATGTTAGATTGTAAATCGAAAGATTATGAAAAATACAATAAAAAACATTAGTCAATCAATGAGTTGAACCTTGAAATAAGGACTATCCAAGAGTGTGAAATATTGACTGATGGCTTCATCAACGAGAGCATCTCTATGCAACCTCAGTGCTTTATTGTATGATGTCAGAATGTCTGCCTCTAATGATTCTTTCGATAGGACATTGTCAACGTAGTTTAATTCCACTGAGATTTTTTCATTTGTTGTGTGGCTTGAATTCTCATTAAGAGCAGCAATAGGCATGGTTATTCTGTAAATTTGGGCTTGTTAGGCTGGTTATGAATAGCAGATTATGAGAATAAAGTTGAAAATTTTTTTCATGCAATTTATTTTCTGATGCATTTATCTACCTGCTATAATAACAAATTCAATTCAAAATCACATCAAAGAAACCCAATCAACTAAACCAATTTTCACTTTATGGTTCAACTAAAAATTGAATGCTTACAAATTTGCTATATTAATCACAATGAAACAATAAACACAAAATATAATTAATTAATCCTAAGCAAAAGTGAAAACCTTTTAATTTATATTTTGATCCAAAGCAACAGAAGCTGCCAAATAAAAAAGTGAATCTAGTTTGAAAGAGATAGCAAAAAAACGTAAGTGTTAATGGAAAACTAAAATCAAATGTTGTAAATAGGTTCTCAATTTTATAGCCGTAGCCGGCTTGAAACAACAAGTATGTTTGTTTGTTTGTTAACAAAAAAAACATATATATTAAACAAAATTTGTTATAATTATTTTAAAAACTTACAGAAATACATAATTTGACAATGTTTTCTTTACTGCATTTATTAAAATATAAAAAAGTGCGACGTTTTCTATTGTATGAGTTCTTTGTTTTTAACATTTTCAACTTTATTTAATAAATAACCGGCTTTTGTCTGCTGTCGAGATTTACTATTGAAATTTCAGTCAAGAAATATAATGAGCGGCGGAGTTTTTGGAGGTAAATAAATAAAAATCATTTTTTCAGCTTTACATTAAATGACATAATGATGTGCAATAATTTTACACTGGAGACCGGGCTCTACTATTATATTTATTTATTATTATTTACTATTATAATTATATATAATATATAGATATATTATTTATTATATTAAAAATAAATAAACTATACTATTATAAATTATAATATATACTATACTCTTCTATAGTTAATCAACTAGTAGAGAAACTGTGTAGTGTCTAGTCTAATCTTAGACTTGTCTATTACTATTATTGCTTCTAGTCTACTCATTTTTATTTTTAAAATTTTACTAAGACTACTACCTAATCTTTAATAATGAATGTAATCAATCATTCTACACTTAAAATAAAATTTACAACACAACTTACCTGATACCAAAAAATCCCACTCCATACTGAAATTGAGTCTTCTTCTCACACTTAAGAGTAGTAAGTAGTAAAAAGAAAAAGTAATAAAATAATTAACCAACGGATTAACCCGAAAAGTTTTAAATGAATCAAAATCTTTGTTTTGTGATGTCATTAGTGTATAGTCAGTAGTTGAGTAGCAGGGTAGTACTTTTGTAAAATCATCATCATAACATAGCTGTTTTTATAGCTATCTGTCAGATTTTTTATGTTTTTTACAATATAAAAATTATAACATGCTTTTGTTTTTGTCAAATTATGCATGAATTATTCTGCTTTTAATTTTTAAAGTAACAAAATACTAGCCACTAGAGCAGACTTTTGATTTAATTAAATTAGTTTTATTCCTGTTTTTATAACATTATTATTTTCTTATTAAATTGAAGTTAAAGTAACTAATATTTTAACAAAAATGTGCCAGATGATATATTTTCATTGGTCTTTGATATTGGATCAAATTCATTTCGTGTTGGCTATGCAGGGGAGGATCAGCCAAGGGTTTTCATTTTTTTTTATTAATTTATTTCATAAATAAAATTTCAAATTTGTCTAATTTTTCAATATATGTATAATGCATTGTAAGAGATATGAATTATTTAGTTAATAAAATGTTTACCTGACATGAAATTTAAATAGGAAATATCTTATTAAATCCACTTATGCAGGGTGATTTTCCAACTTCAGTTGGAGTTTTAGACCTGAAGGAAACAAGGAATGAGGAAGGTAACTTTGTAACGAAACAGGACAAGTATGTGATTGATGTTGTTAACCTGAATGTTCCTAGAGAAGGCATGGAGGTCACCAGTTGTTTGAAGGAGGGCATGGGTTTGTTCCACTATTTTAGCAAAATTTAATGTAATTTTTTAATTATTTATGCATTTTACAAGTTTGGTCTAAAATGTCATATTTGTATAGTCATTCGTGAAACATAGGTTCATTTGTTGATATGTACTGCAATTATTTATTTATTTTCTTTTATTCAAAACAAGCATTTTCTTAAGTGGTTATACTATTTAATTAAATTTAAAATGGCCAGTGGAAGATTGGGAGATATTTGAGAAGCAGATTGAATATGCATATGGAAGGTTCATTGAGACTCCATCCGAGTACCATCCTGTCCTCATGACTGAGTCTGCGGTTTGATCTCTTTTTTACTTCATTTATTCAAAATTTCCATTTACCTAATCTTTATTTCCATTTGAAAGTGTGATGCTGTTTTAACCTTACACTTTTTAGAATCTACGGTTACTAATTTAATAACATTATGCTAATAATACTTTGATAATTTTATGCCGTTGTTGGTCTCTCCTGTTTTTGTTTACATCTGTTCACTGTTAATATAATCCTTTTTTTGTTACGACTACTGATAAATTTCCATAAATTTTAGTTATTGAATTTTTTCAACAGTGGAATGTACGATCGAAGAGAGAGAAGTTACTGGAACTTATGATGGAGAAGTTCAACATACCAGCTTTTTTCCTTGTCAAAAATGCCACACTCTCCGTGTAGGCTCATCATTTCATTCAAATCATTGCTTGCTTGCATGCGTTTTAAAATTTCTATTTCATGATCAACTTTTGAAATTCAACACATCTGTGTGAATTATGCAATTATAAATTTTGCACAAACATACTTATTCTTCATGGAGGATATCTGTAACTGAGACATTCGTATATTCATTTCACATTGCAGATATGCAAATGGTCGAACGTCAGGCCTCGTGCTAGACAGTGGTGCCACATTAACTTCAGCTGTCCCCGTATATGATGGCATGGTCATTCAACATGGTCAGTTTTTTTACTAGTATTAATTTAATGTCCATTTGCGTTTGTGTATAATATCTGTTTGAATTCGTTTGCTGTCATAACATCAATCCCAATTTGAGATTTGTATATCGCTCTAACGTGGGTTCCCTCTAAAATGAATAATTTAGGTATTGTGAAGTCTCCACTGGCTGGTGACTTCATCTTGATGGAGTGCAAGAAGTTGTTGGATGAGATGGGGATTGAGATTGTTCCTCCATTCTATGTGGCACACAAAGAACAAGTACCCGAAGGTCAGTCAGTTTCGAATGAGTTTGTTCCCTTTCTGTCCTTAATATTAATTATTTCATCAATAAACAGGCCAACCTCCAATATGGAAAAAAAGAGAAAACATTCCTGAGATGACCAAATCACATTTCAACTATTCAATTAAAGATGTCCTTAAAGACTTTGCTGCTCAAACGTTGCAGGTTCATTTGTAATTTTTTATTTCTCATACATACATTTTCATTCAAAATTTATTCCTACAAATCAATCACATCTTCCCTTTCTTTATTTGAGGTGTTTTTCTAACTACGTGCGATTTTTGAAATTGACTTACTGACGTTGCATGTACATTCTTTGTGTGAATGTGAACTGTTCAACGAATCAACGCTAATTTAAACAATAAATCTTCATTGTTGACTGAACTGTTTGCCGCCTCAGGTATCTGATTCCCCATATGACGAATCAGTGTTTGAGAACATGCCAACGCATCCGTATGAGTTCCATACGGGCTACAACTATGTCTTCAATCATGAAAGATTCAAAATACCCGAAGCACTTTTCGATCCATCACTTATTAAGGTAGTAAGTAGTTACTATTGCTATCCCAACAATTATGTAAATCATATTTTTTGCTACTCACTCTCAAATTTCATATTATAAAATTTAATTATTTAAATTAATCGATTTATTTATTTTCAATTAATCGTCATAGTTTGTCATCCACATTCTTAGCTGTAAAATAATATTACAAGGTCAAAAAAATAGTTTATACCAAGAAATGTACTATTTTACGTCTGGTGATTATAAAATTTGCAGTACTACTCTAATCCTCAACCATTATGTGGATGTTTACTGCATTAAAATGCACAACTTATACACATACATATATATACATACATGCATACATACATATATACATATACATACTCATGAACACAGGATGCACATGGAGGAAGTTCTATGTTGAGCATGAGTCACATTGTATCAACCAGTGTTGGATTCTGTGATATTGATATCAAACCAGTAAGTTGATACGTTAGGTATGATATCAATGCATTTATTATTATTATTATTATTAATGTTTTTAGACATAATATCTTTAATTTGTATTATTCATTTAATATTCAGAGCCTTTACAACAACGTGATCGTTGTCGGTGGAAACACACTTCTGAATGGATTTGTGGAGAGATTAACGAGAGATCTCAGTGCCAAGACTCCATCTGTTAGTTGGTTTTATTTTTTTGCGCTAGGTCATATGTTTTTTTTTTATTCATCAACTTAGGAATCTTGTGTGAACGAACTCAGTACAATTTTTAAAACTTTTAACATTCTTGCTTGCCTTGTTGAAGGATTGGTTAAATCTGCAAATAAGAAAAAATTATGCACTATATACAAAGTATAACTGATATTTTGTTAATTTATCAGTATAAACTGTAAGAACATGTTAAACATGCAAACAACAGAGCATGAAGTTGAAGATTGTATCATCCCCTGTAGCGTCGGAACGAAAGTACAGCAGTTGGATTGGTGGATCCATTCTTGGATCTCTGGTAACCAACCATCTCCATTTCATTTCTTGTTTTCCCGTTATTTCATTTCTAGAACCGCAATCAATACCGCGCATCGTTTTTTGTGTAAATATAGGTTCATATATAATTTTTATAAAAATTTATCTATAACATAGCCTCGTATCAAATGCTGCTTCTTGTAATGCAATCAACGAATTCAAACAACATAGGCATTAAAATTCTTAAATAAATATTTTTCACGGTGATTTCAACAAAATGATTTACTAATATTGAAGAGTTAATATTTAAAAACACTACAGAGCTCGTTCCCGCAGATGTGGATATCAAAGCAGGAATACGAGGAAGCGGGCAAAATTATTGTCGAGAAGAAGTGTGTCTAGTCTCTAGTCGAGTGTGTGTACGTTTATAAACTAATATTCAATCAACTGTGCTTGTCAGCGACGGTATCATGTTTTTAAATCCATGCTTTTATATATTTTTATTTTTAAAAAATTCAAAACAGCCTCTTGTATTTCAATACAAAAAAGATGGATTGCTTTTACAAATGTCTTTGCAAGGGTTATATTTATGCATACTATGATAAAACGTGTTTCTGCAAAACTAGAAAGCAGTTAACTAATAAAAAATGTTTAAAGTAATAAATAATTTTCATCTAACCAACTCAGTGCATTGTATCTACAAATCAACATTGGCGAAACCAGTGCCAAAACAAAGATTATGTAATTTTAAAATATCTCAAAAGTAACAGGCAAACTTATAAATAAATACCTTCCGTTACTTTTAATTACATCTAACAGACAACTTGAGATCACTTTAGTTGAGCTACTGTGGTAATATTTTCATATGATATTTATGTAAAATAAATCAAATTCCTAAATTTTGGTCAATAACTTTCAAGTTTATGGAATGCAAATGTAAACATACAAAACATGCTGCGTACATCTATAATAAAAAATCTACGTATATAACTAATATACTCACACACCTATCTACGACTGATCGTGTTATTTATATTTCTCATCAGCTAATTCAACAATTGTTTACAATTTGAATAAAAACGTGTAAATAATTGAATTTTTTATAAATATAACAACATGAGCAATGCATCTCAGCATTAAAATAATGTATAACATAAGTACATAGAAACATTAAAAAAGAACTAACATCAATTTTATTAAAAAAAAAAATGATTATTTAATTAATTCATTTGCTTTGAGCCCAGGATGTGCAATTCTTTATTGTCAATGATTTCAACGTGATTCTTCTCTCCACTGATATCTAGTGCATTTGGTTTTGGTTGTGTTGCTTTGATCACAATGCCCAATGCAACCGTGCTGGTGGGTATGCTGATGAATGTTGGAAAGGCCCATGTTACTGGTTTGATCAATGTCTTGAATGTTTTTTCAGCTAAACGACTTTCTTCTCTATCACACAACAAAACTCTGAAAAATTATGAAAAATTATGCAAATTGAATTTAAAAATGCATTCTTAAAGGGCAAGATACTTTGTTTAGGTGCATTTTTGATTGGTGCATTTCACAGAAGAAAATTTATCAAAAATTTATTAAATAGTTACATAATAAAAACTATTGAAAGTCAAAACAAATATATATATACGATAACATACGAAGGTCTGTAAATGTAGAGGTACTTGAATCCAATTTTTGTAACATCGTCCTCAGTCTGGCCCTTTAAGATCAATAAAGTAAATACTTATGTGACTAATTTCATTTATTTAAATAACATGTGGCTAGGAAATCATAACTTAAGTCAAAATAAAAAATTAAATGAAAAATTTGAAATAAAGCACTACCTTAGTCTTAGGGTACAAGAAAAAACTGTCCTTATTTGCCCCTCCTGATGATACAAGATGGAACTCCTCACAACCGCCGTCTTTTGCTAACTTAGCTGATTTAACAACATAATCATGATCAACTTTGTAGAAACCTTCCTTTGAATAGAAATAATACAAATCTTAGCTTAATATACAAATTCAAGATACAGAATAATGTTGGAACTGAATACAGCTGATTTATTTTAATTTAAAGTTGTAAATAAAATTATCAACAGCATTAAATTGGATGGAAGCTTTTCTTACAGCGCCTGCTTGTGCTCTTGTTGTTCCTAAACAGCAGAACCCAACATCAAAACCTCTGAAAACATCTGAATAGTTTTCAATTTGATCAAAATCAATTGCTTTTTGTTCCTGTAAAAAAAAAGAAACTAATTAGTTATACAATTAATGAAGAATTACAATTAGCTAGTCAAATTACTTGTTAATCTAATATAATTACTAAATGATTATTAAATAAAAAATCTTCCAGTGATCTTCCTTTGAGAATAAGAAAAATAATATGGCAGCAATCAATTTTACATTTATTTTGGTTCAGATTTTTTTACACTTAGTGAAAATCAAAATTTAAAAACTGAGACAATGCGTAAAAGAAGGCTAGGTTCAGTCTCATAAGATGGTAAGTTGATTCTAGAGACGAGATCTAGACAAGACTGTCTCATATCTAGACGAGACCGTCTCGTCTCTGAACTCCGAGCACAGACTATAGTTATAATCATAATGTATAATAATTCTAATTTATAATAAATAAATAAACTTTTAAGAAATACTAACAAGTGATTTCAAGTCATTTTCATAATTGATCATTCTTCGTCCAATGAGTGTAATTTGTTGGAAATTCTTGTCTTGAAAAACAGCTTTTACTAATTCCTTGCCGACCTCACCGGTGTACCCAAGGATGAAAGCTTTCTTGCCAGACATTTTTATTTTAATTTTATGTTCGGTACGAAGCTTGGTGTATATTATATTATATATATATATATATATTATTATTATTATTATTATTATTAACGGGGTTTAAAGTGGTTCAGAAGACTATGGTCTGTGTAAGAACCACTACAAAATAGATCTCCTAATATCCTATCTGTCCGAGTTTGGCTTTGAAGCTGCTGAGTGAATTCGCAGAGACTATATATATACTTTATTTAAAAATCAACAAAAAATTAATGAAGTGCCAAAAAAATTATATTAAAATAATAAAAATGATGATTTTTATTCAATTTATTCATCCATATACATACACGTAGAGCATCATCACGATCATACAGATCACAATATATCACACGCTTTTTCTGGCCCTTTTCTCTGGAACTCTCTGCCTCCTTCTCTGACTACTTCTCCATCACTTTCGAAGTTCAAAGCTGTTTGCAAAATTTATTGAGGAGCCCTGTTGAACCTCGCGGAAATGGCGCTTTATAAACTAATTGATTGATTGATTGATTGATTGATGGATGGTTCAACTCCTAAATCTGCCACCGTCTCCATTTTAAAATTCTTTTCTTTCTTTGAAAAGTTTTTATCTATGGCAATATACCCATGTGCTATATGTGTTTGATATCGCTCATTGACTCTTTATCGTTAATTTTGTTACGGACCGTGGTTAAAATAAAACTGTAAAATAAAAGAAAATGGAGAGTTTTGTATGCTATGTTTTGCATTTTTTTAAAACGCATCGATTAGTTTTTTATAATTGGTTTTTTAGTTTAATAAAAGTTATTTTGTTTTTAATTAATTTTTACTTCTATCTCTCATAAGTCATCCTAATGTTAAATTGTTAATCAGTGGATCAGGATATCCAACTTCATCATCAAATTTCAATTGAATAAAAAAATTTTAATTTTAAATGTATGTTTTAAGGTTAATGAACTTCTGGTTACAAGACAAATCTCAAAATCTCATTTAAAATGCATTGAAGAATGCATTCACGAGATGATAAACTGCTTGAAAAATAAACCACATCCTAAAAAATCTATTGTTAGCCTGGTTTTCATTTGTTTTTATATTTTTTGTTTATCCGTTTCAATTCATGCATTTGTCAAGTTAATTGCCTAATAATTTTTTGTAGCTGTTTAATTTAATCATTTGCAATTTTAATCACAAAATTTATAAAATTATTTTCAACTTTTTATTAGTTAAAGAGTATGAAATGTCCTCTGGAATTAAAAGAAGAAATATTGGAATTGAATTACCAACCCCCAAACCACATAAACCTGATCGGTAGCTATGCATACAACACTGATTTCTCAAAAGAGCAGAATGATGTTGATATTATTATAGAAATTCCAAAGGTTTATTTTTGTTTTAATAATTTTATATCAATTTTTATAATGTCACTTGTGTAATTATGCTTAAAAATTGTTGAATATTGATGTTCTATATGGCGCGGTTTGAAAATATTTATCGTTGCTTAAAATCAATTTTATAAATTGCCCATCTCAGGAATGCACACACCCAAAGGACTACCTGAATGAGCGAATATTAAGACGAAGAGCTTTGTATTTGCAACATGTAGCTGCCATCATCAGCAAGTTAAGTTGGGTGCACAAAGTGACATACCTCTACAGAGACGGTTTTGACAAATTGCCCATCCTTTGTCTTTACTCAAAGCCTGGTTGGTGTTTATTGATATTTCTCTTTCAAATTTGTTTTTCTAATAAACTTTCATTGAAAATATTTTAAACTGAGTGTGTGATTTTAACTTGAACAAAGTGAAAAGTTTAAACAACATGTATTTTGTTTTCAGTTACAACAGCTATTATTCCTAAATGCCTGATACTGATTGATTTATTAATTTCATTTTTGCATCAGAAAGTGTCCTAGCATCCACTCGATTCCTAATAAACACCACCATAGACAGCAGAGCTTTCAAACTGCATAGATACAATATAAAGAAAAACAACATCAGAAGGAGATGGTACTTCAAGGGCACTAGCAGTGATGATGGTGGTGGGGCCCCTGATAAATATATTAATGAAGGTAAGCTCACATCAAATTGTTCATTATTTTAGTTTTAATTATTTTTATTTTCTGTTTAATATTCACGCCTCTCCTTATGCTATTTGCCTATTTTAATCTTAGTTTAAGCATTTGTTGTATATCTTTATGGCAATGTACTGAAGTCAAATAATTTCAAAGAAGGTTATAACATCTTTAGCATATTATAAATGGATTTGTTTTTTATAATTTTATTCTTGTTTTGAACAAAAATTGTTCAAAGTAAACTAATTTTTTTCAAATTAGAACCCATTGAAGAGCCATTAAGTATGCACTATAACACATGGGTCCTCAATCAATTAACATGTGCATCCAACTTTGAATACCTGAACAAAAAATTGAAAGATGAATGCTCGCTTCAGGCTGGTATCAAGTTGTTGAAGATGTGGATGGATAGGAAAGCATTGAACAAGGTTTTATCTGATGTTACTCATTCTTTGTGTGCCTGTCAAATTATATATGTGTTGATCATTCTCTGTTAACTTGAACGATTTTTTTAAAAATTCATGCCTGACCATCCTCAGATTTTTTCAAATTTCAACAATAAGTACATCAAAGTATTTCATCAAAAAAAAAAAAATAAAATTTTTATAAAAATATTTCAACTACTTTTCAAGTTATGAAAATTTTTGATACATGGTCAGACATAAACCGTGATTCATGTTGACAGGGACTGAATCATATATATTTTCTATACAGATTAACGATATAACATCTTTAACCACAGGGCTATGCCTCAGGTCTCTTTATTACTGCTTATGTGTTGTTCCTGCTAGCCAATGAAAAGTTGAGGGCCAACATGAGTCCGTACGAAATATTCAGAATAACACTTTCCAATTTAGGTTTGTTTGTGATTTTTTCAGATATTTTGTTGACAAAATTTGTGTAGCTTGAATTATTCTGTTTCGATTTTATTGGAAATTTTCAACAATTTCTTTCCGTCTAAAAATATTGTTCTGTTCTTAACCATAGTAAGCATGTAACACTTGATAAATGTTCAGTCTTTCTGATTTATGGATTTTCTTTCAAAGGCAACAGCTCTCTGAACAACAAAGGTATCTCACTGGCTGACATTGATGGCAACAATGAATCACATGAACACCTTAGTGCAGATGGAGGTGAGGCTGATGATCAATTCAAACCTACAATGGAAGACTTCCATTCATGTTTTGATGTCGTCTTCGTTGATGTGACTGGGCACGTCAATCTGTGTGCTGACATGAACATTTGCATGTATGATATGGTAGGTTTGGGCTTCTTCACATTGATGTCAGTGTTTTTGTGGTTTGCACTAAAATTGGATTGCTGTTATTAATGTGTTACAAAAAATATTTGTAACTATTTAATGCTTTTAATATCTTTCTTCTTTAAGCTGATAAAATTTAATATTTTACGGCATTTTATTTGTTTTACCTATAATTTGATTTGGAGTTGTTCAACTTTTGTATGTTTTGATAATTCTTGCTTTGCATTGCGTGCAGTTGCGTTACGAAGCCAGCGAGACATCAAAGTTTCTATCATCAAACTGCGTTGAAAAGTTTGAATTAATATTTCTCGACAAGACAAGCTATTCCTCCAAGTTTGACCACATTCTGAGGTTCTTATTGACTTTTTATCACCATCGCTTTAGTGATTAATCTCAATTTAAATGTTCTTTTTTATTTATTGTTCTCTGAAATTCATTCTCAACCAATACATTCATCCTATTTTATCTTATTTGTTAATAAGATAAAAGTCGTTAAAGTGGCACATTCTTCCTAGTTTGGTCTTTTAAAAACGTATTTGGTGTAAACACTATAACTCTTATAATTTATAGCATTTAAAAATATTCTCAATGAAGAATGCAATCATGTCATTAAACCATAAAGAAAAATAAAATTATCAGCATAGAGACAAAAGAAAGCATCAAGACACTATCTGTGAAAAGTAAAAAACTTCAGAGCCACTTGATTGATTACTGTGGCAATTATACACTGGCATCATTCCAGCTGATCATCAAGGTTCTCAAGAAGGCACTCGACAATAGGATAAAATTCATTGCCTGCTTGCCTTTTGATGATGTTGAGGTTTCGTCTTGGAGCATTTTTCAACAATTTGTCTTATATGTACTTAAATCAATTTTGTCAAACTCTTTTGAAATCATACTGATAATAATGAAGGAAAGTTAGTTATTTTTAATTGAGAATGAATACAAATGAACATTTGCAGCACGAAGTAACAAAGGAGGTAGATAAATTCTCCTTAATACCAGACAGATTAAAATTAGGCCTCCTGCTGGAACCTTTGAATGCCAACATACCAGAAGAACGGGGTCCTCCTGCCAACAGTCCTCAGGTGTGTGTGTGTGTGTATGTGTCTGCGTGTGTGTATGTGTGTGTCTGTGTGTGGCTCTATCAGTTATTCCATCTCCTTAAATGTTAATTAACATGATTAATGTTAATTAAATACGCCCATTTTTTACATTATGACAGAATATGTGTAAAACTATTTACATTTAAGACTTGCGTAAAACTTTCTACACAATTATTGACTCTTTTGACTGTTGCAAATGTAATTACTACATGGCAGATCATTAATTAAACAGTGGTTGGTTGGTTGGTTGGTCGGGTGGTCGGTTTGTTGGGTGGTTGGTTGGTAGGTAGGTAGTAGATTCACAGTGTAACTTATTTTATAACCACAATTTGATTGATATGTATTGTAATAATTAATGCTCATTCAAATTCACTACAAACAACCAACAAATGACATCCAGGTGCATGAATTTCAAAAGTTCTGGGGTGAGAAGGCCGAACAATACAGGTTTTATAAATCTTTTATTATATTATCTTTGGTCTTTTTGTTATGATGGTGATATGTTGTTAGTATTATTGTTATATATCACATTCGTGTATCAGAATTGTTATAATGTTTTGGAATGTTGTTGTAATGCTTGTTGTTGTTGCAGCAGTTTGTGATGATGTGTTGCGGTTATTTGAATAGATATGCAGGCGGAGACATTGTGGAGGTGGTAAGGTGGCCAAAGGATAACATGTCCAGTGCCAGGACTATCGTTCCACGGATCGTCAAATTCATTCTTAATAGGTTAAAATCAGTCTAGTTATATGTTGATTAGCATTTATCATTCATTCTGTCAGTAGTCTAGATGTTTCTTCTTGTTTGTTCTTTGTTTTTTTTGTGATAATAATTAACTAAACACGTATTAATGATTAATTAAAATTGCAGGCATTTTGCATTTGCAAAAGAGGCAATCCAAATGACAGGCAGTCAACTGGATCATGTATTGAAGCCCGTTGAGGGAAAGGCTTCTTCTGACAGTTCCATATATGGTACAGGGGAGGAACAACATGATGATGTCATCAAATCATTTGATGCTCTCTCCAAAGCTTTAAGGTCGGATCAGTTCAATCTCTTATAAATCTGTTGAAAAAATTATCATTTGATTACTACATAATTATTAATAATTTTGTGCAGATTTTTTAAAAATTATAAGTTTATCTATTTGGCGTCTATGATTGCAGATCATTGGAGGACCTGCCACTGACCTTCAACACAATTCAAGGTCTCTCTCCCATCTTCAGATACACAGAAGTTTGTGTTGAGTACTTCTTTGGGCTTTTCTCGTAATCAAAATAGATTTAAATTAAAATATTATTTTATTTTTATCGATAAATTTACTGATTAAAAATCGTTTATTTATCTGTCTAATTGAAATTCATTGGAACGTCGTCCACACCCAGGTCTTTCCACCAGTGCAGTCAACGAGTCAGTCTGATGCTGTAGCCCTCCAGCACCGGCTCATACCAGGCAACAACAAAAACTGCCCACAATTTTTCCCAAAGTTTCAAGGTCTAATAATTTAGATTGTTCTCTCTACCGACTGACTGGTTTTTTGTACTTATTCCGTTGCATTACATTTGTGGTTATTTCCTTACGTTAATACCACCACATGGTCATAATATTCATGGTTATTTCCTTGCACTAACATCATATGGCCTTAACATTTGCAGTGCTGTGCATGATGGAGCGCAGTGGCAAGTGGTCCGACGATAGGGAAGTTATCCGTCGTCTGAAGGGGGCCTTCTACATCAAACTCGCTGAGCTGTTGAAGACCAAATTCAATTATTCATACTTGGTCTACATGGATAAGCTGCAGCTTTACAAATCACCTGTTAGTATATTGCACGTTCCAGTCATTTCTTATTTTCACCATTCAGTCGTTTAATGCTGTCAGAAAAGTTGAAGTCAGCAAGGAATTGTTTTGATTTGTTTGCGAATGTTTCTGTTTTTATGTGGTTGTCTTCTGATTGAACGTTGAATTTTATTAGATGAATCTTATAGGTGATAGAAGTATAGTTAATTTCTTAATTTCTCATTATATTACTTACTTAATTAGCACACTTTCTTGTTGTGATATCAGGCCAGGTATGTTTTTGAATTGAAAATTGGATTCTCAAAGGAGCTGTCGTTGAGTAGACGAGTGGCCTTACCTGGAGGGCTTGTGAGGATGGAGGACACACCTGAATACCTCGAGACCTACAGGAACCTTGTCATTACACCCACCTTCACCAGCTACTTACACGGGTGAGGATTTATTATGTTTTGCAATATTAACTCATAGCAACAACTTGAAAATGGATTCATTGATGTGTATGATTATTTATGTTTTTTCCGTCATCATAAGTATTATTATTTGGCTAGTTTTTACGCAGGACGCCCTTCCTTACGCAACCACAGTTATAAGCGGTGGGCCTAGCCTTTGATGATCCAACATCACTCACAAGGCAGTGAGGGTCAGTTTAATGTCATAACCAGGACATCAATGTAAGAAATGTGTTCATGGTGTGATTAATAGGACGGACGCAAGGACGGGGTTGAGTGGTGGTATTGAAAGAGTGGAAAGCTTTGTTTACTTAGGGGATAAGCTGAATGCGGATGGAGGATGTTTGAGCGCAGTTACGGCTAGAGTTTGTGTAGGATGGATGAAATTTAGGGAACTGGGTGGGGTATTGTGTGGAAAGAAATGGTCAGTGAAGATGAAAGGGAGGGTATATAAAGCATGTGTGAGAGCAGCGATGGTATATGGTGGTGAAACTTGGGTGTTGAGGAGAGAGGAGGAAAGTGTACTGCAGAGGGCTGAAAGAGCTATGGTGAGGATGATGCGTGGGGTTAAAGTGAAGGATAGGAGGAGTAGTACAGAGCTGATGTCAATGATGGGACTGAATGAGGACATTGTGACATTGATAAGGAGATCGAGATTGCGATGGTATGGTCATGTGTTGAGAAGGGATGAAAGGGTCGGGATTAGGCGAGCGTTGGAGTTCGAGGTTGAAGGAGTGGTAGGAAGGGGTCGTCCGCGATTGGGATGGAGAGAGCAGGTGGAGAAGGACAGGGTGAGAGCGGGATTGCGTGATACTGAGGCGAGTGACAGATGTGGATGGCGTCGAGGAGTATTTCGGTTTCATCATAGGTAGCCAAACGGCAACCCCCGATCTCGGGGAAAATGCCGTCTTAACGTGTGCTGTTGTATGATTATTTATGTATAAATATGTGTCACGTTTTTATGATAAAAATTATTTTCGAATGACAGTGTTTGCATGTAAATTATTTGTTATTTAATTTCCAATCTTGTTACAAAATTTTATATGCAAAAAATTGATAGGTGTAAGTTAATTACAACAAATTTTTAATATATATATGTATATATCACACGAATTAAAAACAACTGATGATTATGATGATGAGTCTTGTGCCATTCGTTGTTCATATCGATAAAATTTGTTATTGATAGCATGTAATTCATCCACCAATTCAGCATTCAGCAGCATTTCAACAGCTTCAGCACCACAGTAAGATTGTGCAAACGCTGGGTGTCCTGCCATCTTCTCGGGGATCACGTGAACAGTGACGTCATAGAGCTGTGTGTTGCTTACTTGTACACGTCTCTTCGTGGTCCCTACATGCCTCCCGGGTTGGTTTCCGACGATGTTCTTCATGTTTTTCACTTATCTCAATGCCCTAAATTATTCATGAGGGATAGAGCCATTACTCAACTTACTTTTTGCGATAATTATTTTTTGATGTTAAACTTTTATCTGTTCAGTTCTCCAATGGTCGGTTTCATGCAGTTTCTTCAACTAATTAGCACTCACGATTGGAAACTGCAGCCTCTAATCGTCAACTTCAATGAAGAGTTCACAGGTAGATCGATGATATATTTTTATTCCGCCTGCTAATCTTTTCATATAAACGTTTTGCGTTTTAAAACATTTTTTTCTGGTGAATCCTTCGATGGTGCATGTCTTATAATTTCAAAGTGTGATTATATGCAACAATGAAATTTTGTGTCAGCTGTTATATTTCAACAATCTAAAAAATATCTAGTAACATTATCTAAAACGACATTATCTAAAACGAACTTGAAATATGAAAACCACGTGAATTTACTTTCAGCACCGGATTATACAGAGATAGAATCATTTTTCCATAAAAATCGATCCAGCTTGCCAAGCCTTTTCATCTCAACTCCCATCGACAGGCACTTTTCCTACATCACCTCGCCATCACCTCTCATGCTCCAAAGGTTGATCATCGTTGCAAGGGCTTCCCTTAAAACTCTTGAAAGTCTCTACTTGGATTTATCTGTCAACAAAAAAGAGTTCAAAGTCAGTCAAGCAGTTTTTCATTGAGACTTATTTCAGTTGTTATATGTATGAAATTTTATAAATACATTCTTAAACATTGGCAGCAAGTGTTTAGGCCACCAATCTCCGATTACAACGTGCTGATCCATTTGGACCTGTTGAAATGCAGCAGACCTCAGTTGGGTTTGGACTTCAAATATACATCTGAACAACCTCCTCCCAAGCCATCGAGTCGATCTGACGAATGTTTCCCTCTCGTTGAGTTTGATCCCGTCCTGCTCTACCTTCGAGACTTGAAGGTTACTTTCCGATTTTTTTTAGTCTCTTTTACAAACTTATATTTAATGTTTTATTGGAAACTCATTACTTATAATAAACGTATTTATTTTATGGAGCAGATTTCTTTTTTATCTTTAAAAATTATATTTAGATTACGTTATAAAATAATTTATTTACTAGTATTCTGTTTTTCCATTCATAAATTTGTGCTCCTTTTTAAACGCTGCAGGAGTCATTCAACGATTTCGCATATTTCTTCTACGACGTGTATGGAGGTGCGTTCATTGCTGTGGCCTGGAGACCATCAGCATACAAGGGAAAGCCATATGACGTATGTAGCAAACATAACTCATTCCACTTCTTATTCAACTTTATAGAATAACTAACACTATTTTGTACACATTTTAAACCGAACGCAATTTGCCTTGGAACTGCTAAACCATGTTCCCTGATATTGAACGTTATGATTAGCATTGTCTTTCAAGAAATTGCATCGTAATTGATATATTAACTGATGTATCTTGTTCTCATATTAGTTAATTATATTTTCAGTAACATTTCAAATTTGCTTCTCGTCATGTCATAAATGTTGAAATATTTCCATACCACAGGAATCTTCCATGAAGTTTAATAAACTAGTAGAAGAAACTTTGAATTCTGAGCAAGCGCTTATGATTGCTGACGAAGAAGCTATTGTGGATGAGTTTCAATCTTTGGGATTTGGACTAGTTAAAAATATTGAAATTTTAAAACCAATAAAATTTTGTAATTAAATTTGTAACAAATCTATAATTTGTAATTATTAGCTTGTGGTAGGTTCATTTACAAAATTGTTCTAATTTTATTTGAGTTTCAACCGTCTGCGTTATGAATAAGAAATCGTGAAAAAGTTTTTACTTATACTAAGTACTAAAGTGGTCTTGAGGAAAATAAAATGATGAACCCGCTAAAGAAAATATAAATGATATTAAATTACAAAAACTGGTGTAAACTCGAGAAGAATTTCAGAATTTTTTTGAAATTATATACCAATGCTACGTAGAAAATCTAACGCTAAGAATAAGAAGAGGTTATTTACGGTCGTAAATTGAAACCTTTGGCAGTTGTGTTCTCGGAAGAAATTTTTAAATTCTATTTTTGTACTTAACCTAATTAGGAAATTTTTCTTGGTTTTAGAACTAAATTCAGTGCGGGACCAGAAGTTGAAGATTATTACAAAGTTGCATATCGTCCGTTTCGCAATTTGATGCATCTGTAGAGTTGTAATTGCGTAGATATAATTTTATGAAGTGGAATGCGTTTGCTGATGCTTCCTGCCAAAACAAAACATTTCTCAAAATAATTTTTATTTTCGTGTTGGATCGTTTGTCGTATGTTAGTTAGTTAACAATTGTGTGTATATAGAAGAAGCATATAATGTACAAGTTATACATATATGTAGTTGTATATAGTAAATTTTATAGACCAGCATATTTTGTGGTGTAATCTATTTAGAGTATATATATACATATTATAATATATATATATATTATATATATTTCACTCAAAAGAGGCGAATGTGTACTTTTGAACAGAGAAGTGTCTAAACATTTAGAAGGTTTCTGGGCGGTGTTAGATGGAGTTTTGTTGGCCAAAATAAAAGCAAAACCTTTCAAACCAGCTGCTTTTCAAGTTTATGCGCCAGCATTTGAAAACAGTTATTTTGACCATGATGCTTTTTACAGTGTCTGATGATGCTTTAAAAACATGTAAATCTCAAGAAATTATTATTATGAGTGACCTGAATGTTGGCTGAGAAAAAATATACATTATATGGTTGGTCCTAATGGGATGGTGAAAGAAATGAAAGAGGAGAAAATTGGAATGAATAGTGTGTCACAAATGATCAAATTATTTAAAACATTGGGTTTGACAATCAAGTTGGTCATATTTTGTGCGTTCTATTATGAAATGTTGGATTTACAGTTTGTGTGTGTGTGTGTGTGCGCGCGCGAGCGTGTGGTTACCGAGTTAGCTCAGTCAGTTAACTCGCTGCTATTACGCGATGGTATGGTTCGAATACTGCCTGTTCGAAACTCAAGGACCCTCATACCCGTATGATGTGGTGCTTGCGGGTGCATACATAATATGTGTGTGCGTCGTGTGTGACGTAGAAAGTGTTCAACCTTTGTTGCACGAAAGTGTAATTATAAATATAGAATAATATGTAAGCAGTTCTGCTTTTGACAGAGCTGGATTATAAAGAATAAAAAAAAGTTTGATACTGCATTCGTCACATTTTGGAGATGTATATTATGTATATGTTATGTATATTAAAAGAGATTGTATGTTGTTACATACAGCGTCTTTGACTTCAATGCTATATTTTATTTGTTCTTTGGTTATTTTTGAGCGAAGTTATGCTTAGTTTAAAAGGCGAGTGCCGGCGCTAATGTAAACGTTGAATGAAAAATTGATCGTACGACTTTCCAAGTTTGTTCACATTCGTATCACGTGTTTCCAAAACCTTGTGTTCTGTCAGTAGAATGTCGAGAAATAAATCATCAGGAAAAACTTTTTTTGGTGAGTCCATTTTGCAGTAGTCGTTTTTCTTTTTTGTAACTTACTTAATTAAATTAAATTAAATATTTGTTAAATTATTAATTGATGTTAATGTTGATCGAAAAACTTTTAAACCAATTTTAACTGGATCATGTTCAATGATCGTCACTTTTGTACATTAATTTCTTTTTTTATGAATATCGTTTCTGGATGTCTTAGTGACTTAGTCTTATCTTACCAAAACAGTAAAATATTGCTGAACTAAATAAATTAGAAGTAAATTATAATAAAACTCAGAAACCTTGGCTTTGTTATTTAGTATCAAATGAACATATAAAATATTAGATTAGCGAACAATAGAATTACTGTGTTTAAATCAATAATTAAAAATAAAAAATAATAATGGAATCTAATAGATTTTTAATTAAAATAAAATAATATGAGTAATCTAATCAGAAAGTTCATTATATTATTTAGAGCAATGCTAGGTGCAACAATGGATATAGTATTTTAGCATAGACTATTCATTCTAACTTATTTCAATTAATTTATGATTATATAGGAGAAATTTGTTCTATAGAGTTTATTGAATGAGCAGAATATTTTATATATGGTTTTACCAAAATTTGTGTTTTAGAAATTAACTTAACAAGTGTTGAAAGTTTTTTATTTTGATAGAACTATTTTTTAACAAGCTAAGTCCATAGATTGATGGAAATATTTTGCACAATTTGCTACATTGTTTTACATTGCTTCTTGAAACTTACCAATATCAATTATTTTAATTATAATTACAGTTATTTCAGCAATAATTTTTCATGTTATACTTACATTTTCAATCAAACAGACAAGCTTTCGCTGTCCAACCTGAGAGTTGATTTAGATGAAATAGAAGATGAAGACAAAAATGCAAATAGTACTCCAAATGTTGGTATTCCCACAACTGCAATCAGTGCGGATACTAAAATGACAAGCAGGCCTAACATAAAAAGGTCCCAGGTACAACATCCCAATATAAATGCCGATGAAAACAACAAAGTTTCTAATGAAATTGACCAGGTGAATGGAAAAAGTGCTACTGTGTCCAATAACAATTATGACACTGGAAGAGGAAAGTTCATTTCTTCCAGAGGTAACTTAAGTCAGACAGGAAGAAACAATAGAACATATGAGAATAATGGTAGTGCCAATAGAGACGGGAAGAACGATAATTTTATGATGAGTACTGCAGATGATTCTACCAATGCTGACAACAGTAGTGATTCTAGTCAAAGTAAAATTGCCAATAGTGACAGAAATTTTAAAACTAATGATAGGTTTAATAATTGCTCTGAAGGTAATTTCAACAGGCAGGCTAATAAACCTAATCTTTTCAATAACAACCAAAGGAGTAATGAGGTACCAGGTAATAATGATAATGCTGGTTCTAATAAGAGTAATGATGAAAATAACAATAGAAATGCTAGAAATAAGGAAATATTTAATGGTAGCAATCCAAACTTCAGAGATTACAAAGCTAAATGTGAAGATGACTCTAACAGAAACTCTGCAACTGATGATAAAAATTGTTACTCAGAAAAAAACAACAGCAACGATGACAATTCTAACCAAAGATTTACGAGTAGCAACCGACGACCAGAAGGAAAGAGCAATAATGATGAAGATTTTGAAAAAAAATCTACATTTAGTAACAGATATCAATCGGAAAAAAAGGAAAATTATGATACTGAGGAGGTAGATGATGCAAAAGATGAAAGAGGTAATGGCAGAGGCGGTCGTGGGAGATATAGCAGAAATGATCAGAACTGTGGTGGGCACAGAGCAAGTAATAGGAATGATGAAAATAGGGATGAACAGAAACCAAACTCCAAGAATGATGAAAATGCAGATGAACGCAAACCCAATTTCAGGAATGGTCAAAATGGCAATGGAAGGAGGCCATTTTACAAAAATGATGAGAATAATGATGAATGCAGACAAAACTACAGAAATAATGATGATGGTGAAGAACGAAGACAAAACTACAGAAATAAAGAAGATGGCGATGAACGAAGACCAAATTATAGAAATAATGAAAGTAGAGATGGACGAAGACCAAATAATCACAGAAATGATGAAAATGCTGATGGAAGGAGAACAAATAATCACAGAAATGATGAAAATGCTGATGGAAGGAGAACAAATAATCACAGAAATGATGAAAATGTTGATGGAAGGAGACCAAATAATCATAGAAATGATGAGAATGTCGATGGACAGGGATCTGCAGTTGATGGCGGTGGCAGAGGAAGTCACCAGTACAATAAACGAACAGTTGTTGACAATGGTGAAGATTGCAAGAAGGAAAGGAGCGAAGATAAAGGTACTGATTCAAAAAATGGTTTTTGATTTTTTGTTATTAAATATTGTTTAAATTTTTGTTTGTTGTTTTGTTTCACATTCATCATATTTTATGCGTAATGTGTTATCAAACCATGTTCTGTTAAAACTTACTAGAGCTATTTTAATAATTTGAAATAAAAATAATTATTTTATATTATATTTATAGATTATCTGTTATTATATTTTATAACTTTTTCACCATTTTATTCATAAACATTTTAAGGAAGTTTTTATAAGAAAAAAATGGCTTGAACATATTGACTTTTAAACTCTTTTTTTAGAGCATTCTTATCAACATTAGTATTTTAAACATGTGCATAGGATGGATTTTTATACTTTCTCATTAGTTTATGTTCATAAAATTTACAGAATTCATAAAAAAATTTAAATTAAGATATTTTTTTAGACTGATTTGATTTATATTTTAAAACATTGTACATTGCAGCAGCTCCAGTAACATACATCCCTCCCGAAGTTGAGGAGACTGAATCATATTTGTTTCAAAGTTTGGAAAAAGGAAAAAACTTTGATAGGCTATGTACATATTCTGTTGAGTTGACTGGTAACAATGCTCCTAAGAAAGCTCTCTTAAAGTTTGAATTTTTTTAAATTATGTTTATTATACACATTTGCTATTATACAGCTGTTTTTTTTATAAACAAATATTTAATGCCAACATATGTTTCATACAAATTGTTAGTACCAAAATTGAATTATATTACATGAGTATGTGTTATATTTTTTCCAAAAATATGTTTTGTTTGTTTTTTAAACCAGTCATATAGGCATTTTTTAATATTTACAAAGTTATCGTTTATTTATTATTCCATTCTCTCACCATCAAGGTTTGAAGATGCCCCAGTGACTCCAAAAATTTTAGAGAACATCAAAAAAGCTGGATATTCACTTCCAACACCTATCCAACAGTGGTCCATACCAGCCATCCTGCATGGTAGGGATCTCATGGCATGTGCTCAAACTGGTTCCGGTAAAACTGTACGTATCCATTTTATTATATGTTTCATTACAACGCAATTATTTTATCAAGTTCAATCATAAATTTGGTTTAATTGAAAATAGGACAGCTTAAAGTCATTTTGATCTTCCTTTAATTTGAAAATTTATAAAATCATTACAAATTACATTCCTGGATTTTGTTTTTCTTCACTATATCAATCCAATAATATCCACAAGAAATTTAGTTTGATTGAAAATGAACATGATTAAAATAACATAATTTTTAAATTTGTGGAATAATTGCAGGCTGCCTTCCTGATTCCTGTGCTATCCCTCTTGCTGGCAGACAACGAAAGCCTTATGAAAGCCTCCATGGACCTCAGCACTCCCAGTCCACTCGTCGTCATCCTCACTCCAACCAGAGAGCTAGCACTACAGACTCATAAAGAAATTCGCAAATTTGCATTTCAAACCGTTAGTTTATCTTATGCTGTTATTCGAAATATTATACAAAATTTGGATTATACCTTGGTTCATTTATTTTATTTATCCAATTAATATTTACAAGTCTCGTCACCTATGCCACTTAGGAAATAGACAAATATTGAAGGTATTTTATTATCACCAAACATAATAATGCAGTTTAGGTATATGAATAGAGTTTGCATCATTCTGCACATCTAGCCTGTCATATCACTTTTTAAAAGATCAATCTGCGACAATAACTTTCATGTAACTTTATCTAACATTGATGCCATTTGTTGAATTTGAAGTACGATTGAAATTAAATTTTGTAGGTGATAAAATCCTGTTGCGTTTATGGCGGTGTGTCAGTCAATTATCAGTTGAATAGCATGCTGAAAGGGGTGCACGTTATTGTTGGCACTGTTGGTCGAGTCTCTGATTTCACTAGGAATGGCAAGGTCAGTCAGTCAGATTTCACTTACAATTTTTAAATTCATTGAATCTATTTAGCAATATTAAGGGTTTTGTTTATAATTTTTATAGTTTATTCAATTTTTTATTGATACAGTTATCTTGTTCAGTGTATTATTACATTAAAGATTATTGACTTTACTTTGAAATGAATTCTGATATTTTATATTCGTTATTAAAAACGTTTTTTCATTACAGTTTATATATTTTCCAGAAAGATATTTTAAAAAATATACTACTATTAAAAAATGCTTTAACTTAACGATACGAAAATTGTTTCAGATTGACTTGTCGCATGTGAAATACTTGATATTGGATGAAGCAGATAGAATGTTGAACATGGGTTTCCACGATGAGGTTGTAGCACTGACTGAAAAGTGTGGAGGAATGAGAAGTGAGCAGAGGCGAACTATGTTGTACAGTGCCACATTCCCTGTGGAGATACAGAAACTTGCGTTCGATATTCTGAATGACTATTTGTTTGTAACTGTTGGATTGGTGGGTCAGGCCAACATGGACATTGAACAATCCATACTGAAGGTGAACAAACTGGAGAAGAAAGAAAAATTAAAAGAGATCCTAACCGAGATTAGTTAGTGAATGTTTTGTTTTATTAAAGTATTATTACTTTAATTGTTAATGATCATTTCAGTTGCATTATACAGCCGTCAAAAAAAGTTCATTTTTATGTAATTGTCTATAGTTGGATAGCTTCATCTTTTCTGCATTATTCAACTTTTTCTACAAGATTTCAAAAGAAACATGATTCAATTTAATGTGAACTTATCAATTGTTAATTTTTAGTTATTTAAAATTGTTAGCTGTCCGTTTTGTGTCATTATGTTTATAATCATTCTGTGATATTAAAGAACATTTTAATGCACCATTCCATTGAAAATTTATTGCAATATTTTCAATCTTTCAAACTTAGGCGGTGAAAAGGTAATTGTGTTTGTGAAAACGAAATTACTGGCAGACAGTTTGTGCATACAATTCAGTGAGGAGCTTGAAATACCAATGACTACTATTCACGGGTTCTTATTTATATGATTTTTTATTTTAACTTACTCAATAAATTTTAAATATTTGTTTTGGATTAATTTTTATTCATTTATTTATTTCATTAAAAGTCAAAAATTTAAATATTTTGTTTCAGTGATTTATCTCAAAAAGAAAGGGAGTTGGTAATTGGCCATTTTAGAGAAGGTAGGCAGTTTTTAAAGAAATATATACTCTTATTTTGTTTTCACTTTGTATCATGTGGTTCAAGCAATACAGTTGCTTTATTATTTTATATAAAAATAGTTACTTCTTTCATTCTTACATCCGATGAATAATTATTGTTGCAGACAGAGCATCAGTCCTATGTGCCACGTCAGTAGCTGCCAGGGGACTTGACATCCCAGGAGTGAAGCACGTCATTAATTATGACCTACCAGATAACATTGATGAATATGTACACCGCATTGGCAGGACAGCCAGGTGTGGCAACACAGGTAAAGCAGTTTCATTCTTCTCTGAACCGGAAGATTCTGAACTTGCCAGAGCACTAGTCAAAGTTTTAACAGATGTTAGTGCTTTAAGTTTGAATTGTTTTTCTGGGACTGTTGAGCATTCCTATTATTCATTGATATATTAAAGCAGCGATTTTCGTTGCAAAAGCAAACGTTAATATAAAGTACACCGAAAAATTTACATCCAGGCGCAACAAATTGTACCAGATTGGTTGGAAGAATTGGCTTTGAGTTCTTTGGGCGAAGGTCGTTTCCACAATGATCCCTTTAGAACAAGGGATGCCAGGAAAAATGGAGAGGTTGGTAGCTTCTGTATATTTTTGAAGACCGCTTTTAAATTGTACGATTTTTGTTAGAATGCTAAATCTATGAAACATTATTGGTTCGAAAATACCTTCTCTGCTGCTTCTATTACTTTCATTTTTTGTGCTATTATACTTTTTATAATTTTAACGTTTTTATTGTTATATTTATGCCTTGCATATTGTACCAATTTCTGCGTTTGTCAGTCTGATTTTTATAAACAATATTAAAATATATAGTGCATGTACACGTTTAAATACATGCAGTTGAACATTTTCAAACATTCGACTAATATTTAATTCAGATGTTATTCATTCAAACTAGACTATGAGGTATAATCATAATTTGAAATTGATTTTTTTCTGCAGTTTCCGAAAAGATTAAACAAAGGATCTTCCAGCAAAATCATTGCAGAGCTTCCCATGATGTCCCAACCGCCAATGACCACTGCTGACGATGATGAATGGGCTTGAAAAGTTTTCTCACAACCTCTTTCCGACTACCACCTATGTTTTATGTTCAACTAAATTTATAAATTTACAAGTAGCATTTTGTTTTGAACTGATGTGAAAAACTTGAATTTTTATACTAATTGAAACAGTATCTACTTCAAAGTGAAACTATTTTTTTTTTGTATTTTATTTTTCGTACAGAAACATTTGACGTTTACATTGTTAAATTTTACTAAAAAAATATTGATGGTGTGGACATTAATAATAATAATAATCAACAATTACTGAACAATTATGAAATTCTGGCTTGTGCATAAAAAATTCAGTTCCCCCTGAAAATTTTATCTGCCATTGACTCAACAATTGGACTGAAATCTTTTTCCATGCCTAATATACGACCTGCAAAATACGAGATTTGTAAGTTTAGTTGAAAAAACATTTGTTTCAAATTCATTATCAATTGAAAAGAATTTGTAACCCGTGTTTGCCTCAGCTGTGGCAATTATGGTTACAATCAGCTTGTCTTTATTGAAGCTGATTATCTAAATGAACAAAAAAAAGTAATTAATTGAAGCAATTGCATTTTATAATTTTAAAGTGTAATAAACCTGGTGGTCCTTGTAGTATGAGACTGTGTAATTGGTGCCACCAAATCCAAATCTGTCAGACTGTTCGAAGACAAGGTAAGCTGTTGCAAAATACCTCTGCTTCAAAGAAGCTTCAGGAAAAGTGTCTTTACACACTGTGAAAATAATAAGTGCAATGATGCTCAACGTGGTCTGCCGTATCAAATCATAGATCATTTTGTTTTTTAACATGTAATTAGCTAAACAATTGAATAATTAAATATTGCAGATTAATTGATACATTGTTTTACCTGTTAGAAGTGGAATACCATCTCTATCTGTTACACCAATGGCTAAGAGTTCTGTTAAACTAACAGTTGATATATTCAGCTAGTAAATAAATATGTTGAATATGAAAAAAATTGTTAACAAAATATCGTTCAATTTAATTGTTTATGAGGACATCTTTTTTACTCCTCAATCAAATAAAAATTAAATTTTTAAAATAAAAGAAATGAACCTGTTGAGCAGGCGATTAAAATATTGACGAACAGGTGAACTGTCAGGCTGAGGCAGAATTTTTAAGATGGAATGATGGAAGATTAAAATTTAATTTTAAAATTATAAATTTATTTTTTTTAAACTTGGAACTTTAGTCAGTAATGAGTAAATCAATAGTATAATAAATAATAAACATTAAGAAAGTTGGAAAATGTTGGTTGTTGTAGAAGAGGAATATTAATTTAATAATGATGGAAAGAATTTTTAAAATAAAAATCATAAATGAGAGCTTATATTTATTTATAAGATAATATAAATAAATGTAAGATAATGTATAAATGTAATAAAGTATATAATATGTAATTGTAAAAAAATGTATTATAAATTTCTAAATATATAAAAAAAATTTATAGTTTTTATAGTTTACATTATGATTACTTAATTACTATATAATATATTTATATTTATTACATTTTTACATGTGATCAACTTATGACGCATTGAAATTACTGTGCAAGAGAGCATGAATTTAACGTAAGTTTTTACATTAATTAATTAATAACTATATATAATATAATTATAATAAATAAATATAAAATATTATTATTAAAAATACAACTAATAAAAACTAGGTTCAATTACAAATAAAAAATTTAACAACAAAAAACTGACATTCATGTGTAAGCGGCCAAGTTTTAAACATTCATAAAAAAGAACTAGCAGGGATAAATTCGACACCAAATTGTTTTGAAGTAAACTTAATTTAAAATATTATTCGACGTCTCGACACGAAATTTCTGCTATCATGTGACTTTTTGTTTTTAAAAGTAAACCAGTGCTGACTATGTTTTTTCCATGGATATATATATATATATATTTCAAAAATTCAACACTACTTTCAACATTGTTCAACTTTTTCATATTTCTTTTTAATTTATTAATTTTCGAAAAATTAGACATTTTATTGTTTTTTTAAAATATTTTTATTAAATATTTATTTAATTAATTATTTATTTAATTTTTTATTAAATATTTATTTAATAAAAATATTTTAAAAAAACAATAAAATGTCTAATTTCTCGGAAATTAATAAATTAAAAAAAAATATGAAAAAGTTGAACAATGTTGAAAGTAGTGTTGAATTTTTGAAATGTTGCGTTAACAATAGTCTGTTACCAAAATATATATATATATATAATCATGGTTTTTTTTTCATAATTTTATAGATTTAAACCGAATAACAAATATTAAAACCATCTGACAAATACTACTTGTTAGTCTTTATTAAAATGTGTATATACAGACGATACGTAGCGTAAAAACACACACGAAATAAACTTTGAAAAAAAAATTTTAAAGCTAGAAACATTTTTGAAAAATAACAAAATTTATCTAATGGACTTTTAATGTATGTGATTATATATAGAGAAAATATAGGACAAGTCAAACTATTGGAAATAAACGAAATAAACTTAGAAAAGTGTCAAATTAAACTATCATGTTGGTGCCCTGCATAAACCCACATGGGTAACTCTTTCTGCCCAGAAACCTCGATCTTCAACCAAAAACAGCGTGTCTATATTCAATATTATGCAAAAAGAAAATCTATTGTTAACACATATATTTGTACTACCAACAACACCCATACCAACACGAACACTAACTTTGATTCTAGCATGTCTCTTTCTTCTCAGATTAATAGTGTTGCTAGAGTTCTTACATCTACGTAGAATAAAAAACTTTTGCCTTTTCTTGACGATCCTACTCTTCTCGTTGTTGTTACTTCTTTAGTTTTATCTAGGATTAATTATTGCAACTCGCTCTACTATGGTCTTTCTGATTCTACACTCTATCCTTTAAGTAACGCTTTTAATTCTTTCTAAGCTCGTGTTCCTTTATCTAAGTCTAAATTATTTCATAAGTACTTATCAGTGAACCTAAACGCCCCGGTTTACGATCATCTTGATCTCACTTCTTCTTAACCCGTGTTAAATCTGCATTTGCTTTTTCTGGTCCTTTTCTCTGGAACTCTCTACCTCTTTTTTGACTACTTCTCCATCATTTTCGCTCATAACGAAATAAACTTTGAAAAGTGTCACGTGACCCGCTCTGACGATTCGCTCTGAAGTTCAGAGCGGATCTCAAAACCCTTCTGCTTGCAAAATTCATTGAGGAGCGCTGTTAAACATCGCGAAAATAGCGCTTTATAAACTGATTGATTGATTTGATTGATTGAATCCTGTCAACGGTATCAACGATGAATGCCGCATTTAATGCACATTCAACATTACATTACATAACCATTGAATAAGACTTTGTTAAATTACTACCTTCTTCACACTACAGCTTACATATATGTTGGATTGGAATGCATAATACCGTTAGTTCAAAGATAATATTTTATTCTATTTACATGAAGCGATTGTTAGATCACTTAAGAACATACATTACGGTTACATAAGGAGATATGTTAATTCGTGCGCTTGTCCAACCTTCATAAATCATGAAACAATTGTGTCGTTTATACCAAGTAAATTGAACAAGCTGAAATTTCAAAAAACAAAATCATAAACACTTGTTTTTATTTTATTTTTATTATTGAACATAATTTTAAAATCTAACTATACTGACAGCCAGTTGTAAATATAATAAATATAATAGATCGAGAATAATGGTTAGGTACAAGGTAGCATTTGATATTTTGTTAAAAGCTCATTTTGGGAGTGATAAACGTTATAAAAAAATCAGCATGCATAAAGTAACAATAATATCTTTAATAAGCTTAATCACAAAACTTTCAGAAGAGTGTTAAAATCGGTGTGTGTGCGTGCTTTCAATATGCTTTCAACAAATCATTCATCTACACATTCTACCAGTTTTTACTAGTATTTTCGTTGTGAACTGCCCTTCGTTCTCTTCTGGTATCGTCGAATCGATAAATGAAAAATTGTGAATTATCACTTTGAAAGGTTTCGTGTTATATTTTTTTTTTATACAATATCAACGCGTAACTTTTTGATATCTTAAGATAGTCTTTATCGTGCATTTCACGGACACGTGAAAAATTTATAGCAACATAATCTCCTTATTATTATTATACGGTGCGAGATCAGTACCTACATTTCATCATCTTTTGCGCTCGCTATGTTACATTACGATTACAGATTACTACTACATGCATAACATGCAACGCAACATAATGATGATATGCATGCCATGCCACCGGAGCGATCGGTGTTGTGCTGCTTCAATCAGCGTTTTAAATATTGAGGGTTTCAAAAAAATAAACAAACACTGCTGTCCGTCTAACTCTAAACAAATCTACATCAATTAATTTTTAAAACAGTTGAGTTCAGCAATCTAACACACATCAAAAGTACAGAACCTTTGTACTGTGGAAACTTTGAACTTTAATAAACCGGCTGGCTAACTGGGAAGTATATTAACTTGAACATTATTTTATTTTACTATTCAGAATTCACAGTTGAAGATTTGAGTTGCAACATCATGACGTCATCTGCAGGTAAGGTGCTGGTTTATGGAGGCAAGGGAGCTTTGGGTTCCAACATTGTCAAGTTTTTTCGCAATAAAAATTGGGTTTGTGTCTATTTATTTGCATATCTTTGTTTTCAACAAAATCTTTTAAATTAAAATTAAGTGTTACCATAGATAGAACATTTTTAATTAACTTTTGCCTTTTATTTAATTGTATTCTGGATCATATCATAGTGGGTGGCATCAATAGATATGGGTCCAAACAGTGAAGCAGATGTTAACATTGTGGTTACACCTTCAGAGTCATGGCAAGATCAAAATAATACTATACAAAGTAAAGTGGCAGAAACACTCGGTCATGACAAAGTGGATGCAATTTTGTGTGTAGCAGGTGGCTGGGCTGGTGGAAATGCTTCTTCCAAAGGTGTGAATTATGAATATTCTAATAAGTTGAAAAAATCATTAATGAATTTGAAAAGTTACAGCCTTGTTATTGAAAGACATGCACTTATTTATAGGTTATTATTTTTAGTATGGTGATTATTGAATGTTAAAAATAAAGATAGTAAGTGATATTATGTAAGATTTGAATTATCTTTCTGATTTGTTTGATTATCTATGTGAAATATTATTTACAATTAATTTCTCAAAACCAAAATTATCTCTGCTAGAAAAAATCCTTCAATAATAAATTATCATCACTCTCTACAAAAATTTTTAAGGTTAAGAAATCCATGATTGAATTCTCTGAGATAGTCAAAACAATGTAGTTTGCTTTATTATTTTAAGATATTACATAAGAAACTAATCAATTTTTTGCATTATCTCATAATTTTATGGTGCATTTGATACAGATTTTATTAAAAATACTGACCTGGTTTGGAAACAAAGTGTGTGGACATCAGTGATAGCAACCTCAATAAGTAGCAAGTATTTGAAAGATGGGGGTTTGTTGCTTCTGACCGGTGCTCAAGGAGCTCTTACTGGTTCACCTGGTTAGCCAATATATTTTTAAACTTTTTAAACACATCTTTTAACAACTATTAATTTAAAAAAAAATGTTCAAAGGTATGATTGGTTACGGTCTTGCAAAATCAGCAGTTCATCATTTAGTGAAAAGTCTGGCAGAACCCAAGTCGGGCTTGCCATCACAAGCAACTGTTACTGCTATACTTCCGTACGTTGGATCTTTCAAATTAACAATTTTTTGTCATGTGCATTTTCATTGATCAAATGATAGACTGTTAATGGAAAATTTATTATTTTAATATTGGTGTCATCTGTTTGCCAATCACACATTTACTGAAATTATTTTCAGAGCAACGTTAGATACGCCTATGAATAGACAATTCATGCCTAAAGCCGATTTCTCAACTTGGACTCCTTTGGAGACCGTTTCGAGGTAAACGTAATACATTATTTCTATCTCTAACTTTTTTAGATTATCTTAACAAGTTGAAATAATTACACCAATTCATATAATATCTTTTGACTCTGATGAACAACATTGTTCAACAGCTACATATTTGATTGGATACAAGGAAAAGATAGACCAAGTTCAGGAAGTTTGATCAAGTTGATTACCAAAGATTCTAGAACAGAATGCCTCCCAGTTTGATTCCTATTCAATTGATGAACAATCTTTTTCTAGAGTGTGTTAAACATTCAACTAGTTTAAGTTATAATTAAGTTGAACAGCACTTCATGTTAGGGTAATATATTTATAACATTACATGGCTAAGATTCTGTTTTTCATTTATTAAAAAAAGAATGCCAGCATTTTCTCGTTTGTTCACTTCAAATAACAAGGAAAAACGAATCTGTTTTATACATTTTTAATCATTTAAACATGATGTTAATAAAAACTATAAATGAACCAAAAGTTCGTTTTCAAAAATTAAGTAAATTGTTTGTCATATAAAATGGGCCACATTTACAACATTTTAAACGGAGCGCAAAGAAACCCACATTGACAAAACAGCCTAACATATAAATTTTACAAAAAAAAAACTTAGAAGATTCATAAACAAATTATTTCAGGAAGTCCCTTCCAAAACCAATTTCAGAATCTGTAAACTCTGCTGCTCTTATCTTACTGAGGCAACCCAATCAGCGTATTCTGTCCCTGTGGTAGGTAGACTACATTGGATGACTGAGACATTTGGGCAGCTATGTCCTCAGCTGCTTCAATTTTTCTCAATTCAACAAGACCCTCACCAGATTCTGCAAAGGCTTTAGCAAGCAGATCAGCAGCTATGCTGTCACCTTCAGCTCGAATGATGGCTGCTAGCTTTAACTGCTCCTCCTGAAATGTTGCACAGAATGAAAAAAATTCCAAGTTGTTAACAAATTTTTTTTCCAGGGCAAGTTTAATATCAAATACAAAGGTTTATGCAAAAAATAACATGAGTATCAGAAGATAATCCAGCACACATGAGATTGGAAAAAATTCACCAACCTTCTCTACAATGTATCTGGCTCTTTCAGCATCCTGCTGGGCAACTTGCTTCATCTCAACCGCCTCTGTGAATTCTCTACCGAATGTTAAATGAGTCTGAAAGAATAATTATATAAAATACATCTACACCGAACCATGGACATTATGTTGTTCAGAAAAATATTTATTGTGTATTATTAATCCTCAATTAAAAACTATTTATAATACACATTATAGCACAAGATACTTGTTTTTAAAATATAATTCAAAAATTTTTTTAGCAGTAAGTGCAGATTTGAGCAGAATATGTTATTGAAATAAATAAATAAAAAAAAGAAGAAACAAACAATAGATATGTCATCCAGCATGACGCCAAAGTGAGCAGCTCGGTTCGTTAACTCCTCAGTCACCTTCTGTGATACCATCTCCCTTTGAGTGATCAGTTCACTGGCATCATACTGAGCCTAGATAATGTGCATATGTATATTTTAATGAATAGATTTTTAGGACCCAATAGATTATTGATTAAAATTCAACAGTAAAAGTTATGCAGAATGTACAAAATATTTCAACTCAAGTAAGAACAATCTAATATTTTTTAATGATTTATCAAGAAAGACAAGTGAAGCAGTATCTATAAGAATTATATTTGAAAAACAAGGTGGTTATAAGATCAATATAGTAACGTCTAATTTTTTTTAAAAGATAAACATAGGACATAAATAATGATGAAAATGTTTATATAATGAGTTGTAAAATGAAAAACCCACCACAACAGCTTTAAGCACTTCATTTACAATAGATGGAAGTACCCTTTCGTCATAATCAATGCCAAGGTTCATGTATATTTGGGGCAACTTGGATACCAAGGGTCGATATAATATACGCAGTGTTATGTTTACATTTTGTAAATCTGTACAGAACAGGATGAAACAATAGTGTTAAAAATAAAAATCAATTTCATCCCATTACAACATGGAAGCAAAAAATTGTTTGCCAACCTTTACTGCCAGTTATAGAGGGAACGCTTCGTGGTTGTGACCTGATGTCGAATATTATTGGTTTTTGTACCCAGGGTATTATAAAGTGAGTTCCTTCACCCACAACTTCTTGTCTAACCCCAGCAAATCTATCAAATATGACAGCCCTGTGACCCCCATCAACTACAAAACAAAATGATAATTAGTTTTAGAATAGATAATTAGAATTGACAAAAAAATTATAAAAATGATCCAATTCTTAACCATTGTAGAGAGCTGAATTGGCTACACCACCTGCAACAGCCAGACCTATACCAACTTTGCCCAATAAGTTAAACAACCTCCCGGCCATTTTCTATAAGTAAATCAGCTCTAAAAAAATAAACAATAAATTATAAAACTTTAAATAAAAAATTCAAGGTGGAATTAAAAAAAAAAGTGAAACGAAAAGTTAAGCTAAAAAACTAAATTAAAACTAAAATAAATAAATACTAAAGTAAGTGTGAACAGAACCAAAATAAATCGATACGTAATGATCGTAAAAAAAATGAATAATATGTTTACGACATTTAATTAGTAGAAATTTTAATTAAACGATTTTTACGTCGTCAAGAAAGTGGAAGTCGCCTAATAATTTATTCTGCTACAGAAGAGACAAACTCGCTTATGTTGGGCGATAAAAAAATTAGCAAAGAACATTATTAGATAAAAACATTTGTTTGACCTTAAAAATAAATTAAGCTAAGGGTTAGAGGATGTGGCGCATAATAACTGAAGTAAAATATATATATAAAGCATTGTATATAACTTACTGTCGATATGATAATACTAGTGGTCAAGTCATATATATATATATATATATATATATACATATATATATATATATATATATATTGGCAAAATGATTTCGACCATATACTTAGATTTCGACAAAGAAATTTTTATTATATTGCGTACTTATATATAGAATACTGAAAAAAATGAGTTGATTAGATTATTGAGATTATTGAAACAGTTTACTACTGGTATAGATCTAAACAGATTGCGGGTAACTGAATACTGAATACTTGTAATGTTGATTTAGTATAATTCTACTACAGCAAATCAAGAAGTATAAACTGACATGCAAACTTGTTAAATGATTACAACTATACCATGTACGTACACACAATGAGTAATTAATGTAATTATTTTTTTCTTAAGATAACTAACTTGACAACAATTTACCACAATTTTTTTCGTTAAACTTTCGGTTCGAATTTATTCGATTCTATTCTTGTCATCTCTACTGACGTGGCCCGTATTGACAACCGTGTTTTCTGCTTGTTCTAATTAATATTTATTATATTTAGTTGTTTCACATTCTTATCTGAACGTTAAAAATGGTTGGTTTATTTAATTTTTACATTTTTACGCTATGTCGTCTGAATTTAAAAAAAAACTTTCTTACAGGTCCTCCTTGCCGCTGCCGTTTGTAGCAAGACTGGCAAAGGTTTTTTAAATTTAATTTAATTTAATTAATTTAATAAATAAATAAATAAATAAAATGAATTATTTATATTTATTGAAAGTTGAATGAAAAGAATGAAAAATTGAATTAGAATATAAAAATTGAATTATCTCTATTTATTTTGCGTTTATATATTATTTATTTTACCTTAATTTAATTGACATTGACAGAAATTGAAATTGTTTATTTAAAAAAATTGTCTTCTTTCTTGATTAGCCATTATTTCTCGTCAATTTGTGGAGATGACACGTTCAAGAATTGAGGGTTTGCTGGCTTCCTTTCCAAAACTGATGGGCTCTGGTAAACAACATACATTTGTGGAAACAGAAAGTGTTCGTTATGTTTATCAACCATTGGAGAAGTTGTACATGCTTCTCATCACCACCAAGGCTAGCAACATATTGGAAGATTTAGAAACATTGAGACTCTTTGCAAGAGTCGTAAGTTACTAATTTATTCATACTTATCTTACAACTTTTACTACAGTTTTTCATTAGCTTGCTGTTGTGAAATGTCTTGCCAGCATTTTATAACATGGTTCATCATTTTGTTGCATGTTTGAAAAATAATCAAATAAATAACTTTTAATTTGTTCATGAAATTGTATTAAAACATTAAAAGTTTTTTCATTGAAAATTATGTGTTTTTTATTATAACTATACATCTATTTTTAGTCTATTTTTGATAATAAGTATTAAATCTTTTTTCAAATTCATACTTTAGCTAAATTATATGTTTAGGTTAGCAGTAATCTATGTATTGGTGATATTCTGTATAGATTCCAGAATATTGCAAAAACGTTGAAGAATCAGAAATAATAGAGCAAGCATTCCAGTTGATATTTGCATTCGATGAGATTGTTGCACTTGGCTACAGAGAGAATGTGAACCTCGCTCAGATCAGGACTTTCACAGAGATGGATTCACACGATGAGAGAGTTTTTGAAGCTGTCCGAAAGGCCAGTTCTATTTGCTGCTCTGCTCTTTTACTATTATTTATTCTTTCAATATAATAATAGGAGTTTTTTTAAAGCAGTTAGAGTTTTAAAGGGATGAATTAAATGAATGAATAAAATTGACATGTTGAAAAACTTGATTTCAGACTCAAGAGAAGGATGCATTGGACAAAAGTCGACACAAGGCAAAGGAGCTGGACAAGCTGAAGCAACAGCAGGGTAAGATGGGAATCAAATCAAGCACAGGATTTGGAGGTGGGGGCATGGGTAACATTGGAAAGGATATTGTCATCAACCCATCAACAACTACCACCTCTGAAAAACCAAAGACTACTGCATTCACTGCTCCCATGTAAATTTCTGTCATATTTCACTTCATTATGTGTTTTATTAAATAAAAAATCTAAAGATGAATATTTTTTAACAAAGATCTTTAGAATTAAACTGCTGGGGTTTAAGTAAACCATTTGTGGTCATTAATCTTTAATGTTATTCTAATATTAACCCCTGTTAGAAGACCATCGGGAACAGGCAAGGCACTAAAGATTGGAGGTGGAAAGAGAGATGTTGATTCATTTGTTGATCAACTGAAATCTGAAGGCGAACGTCAGTGCTCTCAGTTCTTATCTTACCATGATGCTCTATGAATTTTTCTATATTTATTATTTTCTACTGCTATAATTTTTTCAATGTCTTAAACTATTTATTTGATCCTGGTCAGTCGTATATTGCCGAATAATTGTTTCATTCGTTCATTTGTTTCCTTCATGTACTCATTCATTCATACGTAAATAAAACAAAACTTTTAATAATTTGAAATGAGCAAACATAATAACGCATTAAAATATTAAAAACATTGTTCTGATTAACTGATCTAGCTTGTTAATAATTCAACTTTAACATCTGTATATATGATTGTAGCATTTTGAAAACTTGCATGCCACATAATGTAAATTGATCAAAACGTTTTCTCAAACGCCTGCCGTATCTAACCACAACAACGTCCTACCACACATTCCAAACAGAGGTAGCCTCACCGACCAGTCAGCAGAAGCAGTCAGTGGCTACAAAGGCAGCAATACCTGCATCCAATCAAGAATCGTAAGTGTTTTCGGATATTGTTTTACATTTCTTCTTCATATCATTCAATCAATCTATCAACCTATCAATCAATCAATCATTTAATCAATCTTCTATCCAATAATAAACTTGCAGATAAATATGTTATCAAAAAATTGTCTTAATCAATTTAGACATTGTTCATTATATCATGAGCATTCTGTAAGTACTCAGTAGTAATTATTTTTCCACGAATCGACCATCAGAGTGCATTTGCAACTTGAGGAGAAGATAGTGCTGGCAGCAGGTAGGGAGGGAGGTCTGCAGAATCTCGAGGTACATGGCCTCCTCACACTCAGGATCAGCAGCGACAAGTATGGCCGCATCAAGGTGGGCGTCAGAAACAAGGACGAGAAGGGCATTCAGTTGCAGGTGATGATGCTCTGTTTTTATTCTCATTTATTTCATATAATATAACAAGAAACTATACAGAAACGAAACAGTTATAAAATTTATATATTTGTTAATTTATGACTACAATTTTTTTTCTTCAGTTCATTCAACAAGAAAAGTTTTATTGAAAGTTACTGAAAACATTCACATCCACGCTAAATAGCAAACACAATGAGTAATTACAAAAATTAGTAACTTCTAAACGCCACTCACCTTATGCAGACCCATCCAAATGTAGACAAGAAACTCTTCCAATCATCTTCTATCATAAGTTTGAAGAACCCAGAGAAGCCCTTCCCAATCAACACAGATGTTGGAGTTCTCAAGTGGAGGTTTCAAACGCAAGATGATGCTTTCATGCCTCTATCAAGTTTCTCATTATTTTAGCTATTTTCATTATAATCCATAACCTCATTAATCAGTATCAGTATTTAATATACTCTTTTACTAGCCGTTCATTCATTCGTTCGTTCATTGATTTATTTATTCAAATCAGATTGTCTTTACACTTATTTAACATGCTATTTCATTTTGTTGGGGAATAATCTTAATTAATTTGCCCGCCACGACGTTTCAGTTAACTGTTGGCCCAATGAGGCTGGGTCAAAGTGTGACGTCAACATTGAGTATGAACTTGAAAGGACAGACATGGAACTGAATGATGTCGTCATTTCTATACCAACCCCGTCAGTTTTTATCATTTCAGTTATTTCATCTGTCTGTCAAGTGTTTTATTTATTGTTTTTTAATTAATTTGTACCGTGCTTCGAATATTTTCGTCATTGACTTGATATATTTTTTTTTGATTTTGATATTAATATTTTTTTGATAAAATCTAGCCTTAAATTCCAAATTCTCCCGTCATCATTTTGCATTCGCAATCAACTCCAACACACTGAACAGATCGGGCAGTGGTTCGCCAGTTGTGAACGATTGCGAGGGCGAGTACAAGTACGACTCACGTAAGAACGTTCTGGAATGGAAGTTACCTGTTGTCGATGCTTCAAACAAGACGGGCTCCATGGAGTTTTCAGTGGCTGGTCGGGCCAACGACTTCTTTCCCATTAACGTCTCCTTTGTTTCCAAAAAACCATACTGCGACATCGAGGTTGTTGGTTTCAATGTTAACCGTTATTAATGATTTCATGTTGGCGCTGCAATTTATTAAAACAAATATTATTTTTATTATATATTTAAACTTTTTTCAGAGATTATGTTTAAATTTTGTTGCAGGTTGATTTTGTGAAGGATGTTGATGACGACAGCGATGTCAGGTATTCTTCTGAGGTCGTCTTCTACGCTGATAAATATGAAATATTATAAATTGGTTCATTATTATTATTTTATTATTATTATTCTCAATAATGCCGTTATCATTGTTATTAGTACTTATTATTGTTACTTATTATATTATTATTGTAAATTTTTGTTGCGTTTTATACGTAATATTGTGCGTAAACAATTTTTAAATAAGAAACCCTACTTGACAATGAACAAACAAGTTGGTTAATTATTTGTATAATATTTGTGAAAAGTTTCCGTTAAAGTTCGTATGTTTCATTGTATAATAATAGTTTATCAATAAATTGAAAGATCAATTTGATAGATGTGTGAGGTTCCAATGACGACGAAAGTGAATCCTGGCATGACTATGGATACTTAATTACCGACTGACCGTTGATGAGTGACATGACCCACATACTGACTAACGAACGACTTGACCTAAGTACTGACTGGTGACATAACGCTCAATGAAATTTTGAATCTGACTTTCTGACATAGGACGTTAGCTGGTTAACTTTCACTAACCGCCACAATGTTTAGGATACTTACATATGATGTTTAGGGTAGGTTACTGCTTACAATTATTCAACAGTTTGATGGTTAAGACATTTGAAATGTTTTTTTTTCTCACGGCAAGTATGAAATTAGTATTTATATCTTCGAAAAAACGTTTTAAAGATTGAGTTCTGCTTTATTAGTCAAGTGATAATAATATGGTAATATAATCAAATTGATTTCGTGTATGAATTTTTAAAATATCTGCAAAAAATAATTTTTAAAAGATATATCGTTAAAATCTTTATAAAATACGAAACATCTGCTGAAATTCGTTAACAAAGACATGAAAGTATCAAAAGGACGATCCAAACAAGGCACAACGCTATATTGATGGCACATCAATAATTGTCAATCAAAGATCACATCCAAACACGCTATTGCAAATTAAAAATTAACCTTTTATAAAATTAGATTCTACTTTTAACTCGTAAAAAATGATAACAAATATTGCCGATGTCGATAAATGATGAATTAAAGCAAGAATGTAGCTAATTGGAATGATTGAACCAATCACGCAGGGCACTTGTCGAAGATAATTAATTATGTAGACGATACAGACAAATTCAAATTACATAAATTGAATGGAATTAATTAAAAAAACTGTTTCCTAAAGGTTTAAATTCAACATTTAGAAAAAAGGATTTGCATCATATATTAAAAAAATTATATGTTAAAATTAAAATGTCATATAACGGAGTCAAAAAAGAAGGAATAATCCTGTAGTAGCATGTCCACCAGCTGACTTCTCATCACCATGGAAACTGCCAGACTTTGGTCATCTGATTCCTTCGGCCACATCAACGTAGGTCCAAAAATTATCGACAGGTTTTGGATGTGCATGCGATTTTCAGACGAGTGAGAAACGACGCTGAAAAAGAAAGTCGAAGTTGTTAAATCAGCTCGTAAAGTGTTGCAACTACCTTTTAAAACAGCGTCAAAATTGAAAAACTCTAATCTCAACAGCTTTTGAATTGTTCACACAGATTAATTGTATGCCTTGCTGACGATTAATGTTAAAAATTAAAAAATTATAGCAACTAACACAAGGAGATGTTGCAACAGAACTGTGAGCGTCAGATAATTGACTCTTGGAAGGCTTGCTAGGATGTTTTTAATGCTCTGTGCTCGCGATTTGCTATCTGAAATAATTTACATCACAATTACTAAAAATTATTTTTAAATTATATAAAGATTTAAATCATTTACTGACAAATTATAATTAATGTTTGTCACTGTTATTTTCGATTTACCGAGATTATTTCAAACAACAAATAACAGACGACAACTAATAAATACATAATACAAAAATAATAAATTAATTTGTCTAAAAAAAACAAAAAAATGCTGATCAAACAACGAACAACCACAATATTATATTAATCATAAACGAACGCACATGCGATGTAGTAACTTACTGATAACATTCATGATTGAGTTGTAATGCTCGTATGGGAACAACGGCTCCTGAAGCTCTCTGAAGAACAATTTCAATGCTCCAGTGATGACGTGGATGTCTGGAGGTGGAGTCGACGAGGAGGTAAGCAGGCTTTGAGATCCATCTGAGAAAAAAAGTTCAAATTACTAACGATTAAACTAATATTTATAATCATTTTACATGACTTGAAAACTACCAACTAATTGCTGTTATAGTGTTATAAGTTACTAATTATCACCAACGTACGTTTCATTCAAAATAATCAAAACGACAGTAATTAAATTTATGTCCAAGTTACTACATTTCATATAAGACATACTGTTCTATTTGAAAAGCACTGTTTGGTAAAATACTAATTCTTTTCTAAAACTTTTCAAAAAAAAATCTATCATCATATCTCATAGAAAACCAAAATGTTGTAATAATCTAATTGTGAGGATCTAATTAAAAAAAGAAAGAAAGCACGTGAAGTAAATACTCACTGGTGTTAACAGCAAATCTCAATTTTTGAATTTCCGCCATGTTTCCATTGGCCCTATATATGCCATCAACGTACAGACCTATGGAAACATTAATGAAGATCATATATATATATATATATATATATATATATATATATATATATATAAACAATAGACCGAATATATAAAAAAATTAATTTAAACTAGCAAATCTAATAGCGACATAAATGTTGTAAAATTCAAGATAGTGAAATAAAGTAATGATTAGATAAAACGTACCTCTTTCTTCAACAGCTTCAATGCAGTGAGTCACAAATAACGGAATCTCACTCCCCTCCTTCTCACATATTGTTGATAATGTTGAACCAAATATGCCATCTTCAATATTAATATAAAACTATTGTTTTAGCAGCAGCAGTGGATAAATTTACTTGTTTACAACATGTACACAACATCTGTCAATTATTCAATTGCTTATGCTAGGATTTTCTTTGAAATGAAAAAGAACATCGAGGATTTTTGAGGATTTTTCAACTGTTAAACAAAAACGTACGAAAGCGTAGTAGCTACTTATTTAGATGACTATTAAAAAAATTGTAGAGAAAAAAAAATCGCATAAAAATCTACTTAGCAGAAGAACTTTTCATAAAACAGTTCTCTGAGGGTATTTTTTTCAACATAAGCTTGACTTTTTCATGAAAAAAAGAAGGGAGTTTCACGACAAACTTAAAAATAATAAAATAAAAAACTTTCAGAATAAACTTGTAAATAAAAGCAACACACACACACAGACACCAGCATGAAAATCGTTACGACAAACACAAAACAACGAGACATCCACACTACCGACCCTTATATATTCCTTTTTCTCTCAATGTCTCCTTCGTAGGCCTCTTCAACAACCAAAGTTTCAACTTTTCTTTAAATTTTGATTTTTCAAGAGTACTTGTGGAGTTTGTGGTTGAGGTGGTGAGGGAAGCCATTGAAGGGCTGAGGGGAGATCTTGAGAGGTCCAGATGTGAACCCAGATCTTGTTGCTGAACGTTGCTACCTTTAACGTTTGAAAAGTTATTGCTATTACAAAGTGTCAGTTAAATATGTATACAAACTATAAAGGGCACGTATATACGTATATCATGAAAGAATAGAAGAGTTTAATGATATCATACTTGAATTTTCATAAATTAGCATCTCAATTAAAAATATTTCACAGAAAATTTATAAAAACGACGGCAAAAATATATCACATTACCTACCTTTTTTAGGCTTAGGAATGACATTTTCTTCATTTTTTGAGCCAGAAATGACTGCTTCCCTGGACTATAATCATTAAAAAAAATCATAAATTAAATAAAGATGATAACAATTGATATGATTAACGATGATGACAATGAGTGATGTTAGCATTTTCATCTCAGTGATAATAATAATTTCAGAAACGTTTGAACGTAAAAAGGGTAACATTAAAAATAGCATAAAACAGTGCTAAGGCTAACATAGAAGAAAAGAAACAAAAACAACAGATATAACAACAAACGAACAAGTACACAAATAGACAGACTGACGAACAGACAGATAAACAACTAGACAGATATACAGACAAACAGACAGACAGACAGACAGACAGAGACGAATAAATAAAAAACACAAACAAAAATAGATCTAATATAAACGCAATTAACAACTTTAACAAAGTACAACTTTAGACAACAAAACACCATAGAGTTGTTAAGTGTTGTTGCATGTGTTAGCGATTCAAACCAGTCATCGATGACATCCTGATCATCTGATTGAAGCATGTATTCAGTGCCTGTGGACGTTATAACCTGCATTTGGTTAATTAACAACTGTTAATAATTAAATAAAAATAAATTTTTAGCATTTTGGTAACAAAAGTTATTCAATAACCGCTAAAACTGATATTATATCAGTTTATGGTACATGGATTTATCAAACCTGCGTAGTTACCTGTATAAGATTTTGCTTATTGCTGGTACTACCCCTCATCACAAAACTACTTGACAGGTCAATGGATATTTCTGATTTGGATTTCTGGTATTTAACATCAACATTATTGTTATTATCATTCTAGTAATTCTTAAAAATATCAACAACACACATACACGGCACATGCGAGCGAATATACGTGAATCCATGCATCACATACATCATATGTGACAGGGAGAGATCTATTTGCATTCAAACCATGTCACTGCAACACCAAGTCTGGGCGCTTTAACCATTACGCTATCTCGCCACCAAGATTATAATTTGCATAATTAAACTAACGCTACACTTTATTTCCATTCTCATATCATTCCAAATGATCATAGTAAACAGGAAATCAATTGGGAATGTTAACAATTAACGACTGTTTATAACTGACACTGACGATAACAATAGTGATTACGACAGCTGGTCACATGTGTATGTATGTAAGTGTGTATATTATAATGGTAACTGTATTGGTACAAATGAATTGAGCTTTGCAGATGAGATTCATTTTCAAATTTATCATATAAAAAACATTCAAACGAAATTAAAAAAAAAATAAATGAAAAAAAAGAAATATTATACATAATTTTAGAAAATAAAATAATTCATTCTTCCAGATAGAAAAAATTATAAACTCTAACATTTGCAGTAGATTTTTGGTCTTTGAAGAAATAAAGATTTGAACCATCTAGCAGAATAAAAGATGGAGTCCAGTTTTTCCTATAGAAAAGAAAATAACAAATATTTATATTAAATGAAACATAACTTTATCATAATCATAAAATGAAACTTAGATCAGACATATAAAAAATAAATAAAATAAAGGAGAATGAACGAATCATGAATACAAATAGATGCATATATTTCTGCGACAGTTTGCAATCCCCATATTAATAATAACCAACATGGTAGTAATGTAAAAAAGTGTTACTCATACTTTAATTTCCTTCCATTCTCTGATAGCTTCAGTCTATTTATCTGACCTATTTTTGGATTCTGACAGAACAAAATTGCATTAAAATCAAAATATTGATAGCACTCCATTGAATTATCTAAATCTACAATTATGTGAGAAAAAGAATATAGTAAAATAATAATATATATAATATAATAATAACATATATAATATATTATAATAATATTAAATATAATATAATAAAGATAATATCACCACATTCCATTGCTGTCATCAAAACTAGTGAGAAAAATTAATTCACATAAATCGACAAAAGCAAAAAAATACCATAGTACCTTATCACTGTCAGTTGAACTGTCTAAATTTTTTTTAAAAGTATCCGGTGAGTCCTACAACAACAATTGAAAAAATTAAACTAAATTTACAGAAAATTAATTGAATAAAAAAAAAAAGAAAGACAAAACCAACATTTAGGTTGACATAATTGCTTGCGGACTCATCGGCCTGGTGTGGTAATGTCCAAGTTGACACTTTTGTCTTTGGATTGTGGTAATATTCCTTCCCTGTCACTTCATCTATGTATACTTCATACCCATTTATCATCTTAACTATATTTCCATTGCTATGTTGCTCCTGTGTTTGAGGGATTTCATGGTCTATAACCTTGAAAAAAATAAATCTACTAATTTAAATACATTACTAATTTGTTTACTAGAAATTAAAATTAAATGAAAATAACTTTAAAGTTAAAACTGAAAATATTAATTATCAATGTAGAATTTTAATAACTACTTTTTCTAATTCATCGATTTCACCATTATTGAAAATGTTTTCACTGAGTGGACGCTTAGAGTAATTGTAATCATAATTAGGCAAATTACTCAATGATGGTTTTTTATTGGTCTTATTAGCATCAAATGCTTCCCCATGTGATGTCAGTTTGTGCTCTGTTGTGGTAGTTGATGCAAGTTTATGAAAGTTGCTGGATAAAATATTGAAAAGTTCAATGCGAGCATCTTCATCAATGGCAGGAGGTGTTGGAGGTTCGATTTTCAAATCTTTCTGCATTTTTTCTAAAAGATTTTTCGGCTTGATGGGAAGTCTGGGAGGAATTGCCCTGTTGATATTGGTGGGCATCTGTAGTGGTGACACGGAACGAACTTCTTCAATGTAGGAAGCTGGAACGTAGAAGATATCTTTACAATCCGATTTTGTGATCGCTATCCATCTATCCGTTTTCCGCTCTACCAAACGATAATCGTCCCCAGCTTTTAAGAAGACGGGATCTTTTTTGCCACCTGGAATGGTGTACTGAAAATCGTACAGTAGGTAGACGCCACCAGATTGTGGGGAGACCATGTTTCAATCTCCAGTACCATTAAATTAATTATTATTATAAATATCGTTAACAGATTTTTTTTTAATCAACAGACAGTGTCGTTGTTACTAAATTCTGAAATTTATTACTTATTTCAGGGTAATGTATAGCCTTTTAAAAAAAAGTTTAAAAGTAAACAGGTTGTTTTGTTTTAAAGGGCGCTGACGAGATTTACTTCTATTTAGTTCGGTTTTGTTCGTATAATTAAGAGAACAGACTGCATCCAGTACACCTTGCACTTAGAATAAACATATATTAAACATATATTAAACCTATATAGGACACATGTATTATATATATATATATATGTATGTATGTGTGTCTAACTTTATATAATATGTAATATTGCTAGTTAATTCTAAAAATGTATCTCTAGGTATCTATTTTTATGTCCAGTAAAATCAACAACACATAAACGACGTATAGTATGAATGCAGGCTAAACGACGCATCACACACGAAGCATGTGATAGGCGGGGATCTCTTGTTATAATCGAAAGTGGCATTGCCAAGAAGCGCCAAGCGACCTTAGGTTAGTAAGCAAGTTAGTTACAGCTACGGAAGTTTAGACATTGGGGTATAATGGTTATAAACTAGAAAAACAAGTTTTCTTGCCAAATTAGAGTGCTTATCAACTGGAATCAGATTTGTTACAGATGAAAATATTATAGACCTACGTCATTTGGAGTTATTGGTCGACAGTATAATTGTTTAAAGGTATAAGAGGTGATGCAATGTTTAAAAACTAAATTACTTTGCATTATTCTACAGATTTCAGATTGGTTCATCTCCTTTTACGATTCTCACCAAACTTCAATGTCTTTCACCTGGTCTCAAAAGTACGTGCTTGACCATTAAGCCCATCAAAATCTCATGAAAAGATCTGAGAATACGTTTAATTCTTAAGTCTATTATTTGATTAAAAAGAGCAATTTCATAAAATATTATGATTTTTAAAAAATTTGTTTTTGAAAATTTAGCGCGTTTTCAGTAATAAATTATGTTACAAAATGAGTTTAAAAGGTAAAAAGCTTGATTTTTGGGGAAAAAGCGGAATAACTGATTTTCTCTTAGACTTAAAGTATAAATATAGCCTATTTTTCTTGCATTTAAATTATTTTAATTGATACCCATAACATTGGCGTTATTATATCCTAATCCAAAACTGGAAAAAAGGCAAGATTCTTTAACATTTAAAATAACAGAATGTTTTCATTTTAATTTTGAGCAAATAATTTATAACTCATTAAATTCACATAAAAGTATTTTCGTCGAGAACATTATTAAGCAGAAGAGACGCCTTGATTGAAAAAAGAGTAATTAAACAAATGAAACGAATACCTAAATAATGTTCATCAAGTTTTTTATTTCTTGGAATAGAACAACAAACTTTTGAAATATTAGAATGCATCTTTTATTACTCAAGAAACAATTTATAAGAATTTAATTAAAATGATTTGTGTGAAGTTCATAAATTATTGACAAAATTCATAAATTTATTTATAAATTCAGAGAAGCGTGCCACGCACGTTTTCTGCAAAAGATTTGCATCAATCATTCTGTCATCTTCACTTGTTGGCTGGTTGGGGAGCAAAAAATAAATGATTGTGTTAATAAATCATTAAAAAACATTTTTAGAAAGCAATTTGTTACTTAAATATTACAATTATTATATCCCTAAAGATAAATATTCAGCTAAGAAAAATGTTTTGTTTTTGACCAATCATTCTTATTAATATAATTTGAAATTCATTTGGATAGAAAATTACATTAATTCTTTCAAAAGATTGCAATTTGTGGAGAAACCAGTTGAGCACAAAACGAAACCTTCCATACATACATGCTGGAGGAAGCAATTAATATTTCACGATATTACCAGACTAATTGCGTGCCGCTTTTTCATTCAGTTACGTCAAAGAAGCACCAGACTCCTTTAAAAATTTCAAAAACTTCAGTGGGTTTTACGGCTTTTTAAATTTAATAATTCGATATTAATCGTTTTCATGCATTTTAGAAAAGATTTTCTCCATAAAGGGTCACAAAATTTACTACATTTTATGTAAATTATTAATTTTGAAATAATTAATTTAAAGTTTTTAAGTGAATATAAAATATAAATTATTTATTTATTTATGTGATTTTAATTTTTCACAGAAGCACACCTGCGTAACTTAATAATCGTAAATCAAATGCTTTCGTGCTTTCGCTGCAGGGGCGGGCAGAGGTAATTAAAACTTCCTGGCTTATCTAATTATTTCAACGAATTCCAAGCGACGAAGGGCTTACACACACTACACATACAATATACATAGATTAGCCTTTTATTTTGCATCTCCGTCTAATTAAATTTTTCTAAAAAATTTATTATGGTTTTGGGTGAAAGTGCAATTTGTTAAAGACGCGCTGTGTCAACTTAATGGGATTAACATGCTGGACGTAGGTGCACGCAAGCTGCTGACCAACCAAGCTCACTTTATTATTGCGCGGAGGAAAATAAATTTAAAAAAATTTAATTAATTAGAAAGTTTGTGCATTTAAAATTATTTAAGCGATTTTGTAACACAAAAAATAACATTACCAAATGACAAACGCATTTACAGTAACCAAAGCAAACAGTAGCCTATATATGATTTCATCAGAGGTCGTTTGGCTTTATTGCTCAATTCCCAGTGCTCCGATCAATCGGGCTCTATGTTAGCTTGCAAATTACTGATGATTATTTCTCGCTCTGACGCAATGTAATTAAAATAACTTATAATTATAGTGTTATTGACTGAAATAAAAATTATTTCCATGATATTTTTAATTATTACTATTGAATGAATGGTGAACTGTAGGTTTTGTCTATAAAAGTTGATGTCAGTAATGGTTGGATGTGGATGGATTTTGAATTCATCTCCCGAAATGCTGATGTCGATTGTATTTATTTGTTCTCTTTTTACAATGTTCTCAAACCTGCACTTTCTTCATGTTTGTCATGTTTCTTGTTTTATTTACAAGCTTTACATGCATTTGTATGTTTTATTCATTTTATTATTGTGACAGTTTTTTAATAATTGATTGTTTTTCACATTAGATTGTTGGTCTTTGGATAGGTTTGATCTTCGAGTTTCATGGTACTAAGTGGCAAATTTATTTTCATGTTAATAACTCTTCTTAAAAATTCATTCATTTCATTTCTGGGTGGAACCTTTTTCAAATGTTTCTTTAAAAAATTTTCATTTCAATCTATCAAAAAACAGTAAAAGTTAATCATGAACGAAACATTAAACGAACCACTACACACCACGCATGTAAGCTATAAATTTTTTTTTTCTATCAAACAAGCAATTTTAACTCGAAAAGCATACTGAACTTATCTTTGTTTGATTGAAAAGCCGTCCGATTATTTATTCATTCATATGCATTTTTATTTGTTAGTTTTTGAGATGATGTTAAATTAAAAGTTACCACCCTGCTCTATTTTATTCTAACACCTACATAGGCCACATCCGGCCATTTTAAACATCCGACTTACTTATTCTGGTGTATTCTGCATTCCCAACGCTAACTACATGAGAGCTAGAGGTTTGAATATTTTATGAACTTGAGTGGAAAAAAAATCTGAAATAATCTTTTTTACTTTTTAAAAGTTGGAGTATTTTTTTGTCAAGAATGGTTAAATTTTTTTGAATGGAGTTCATTTGCCACATGTTATTTACAAACGAACATGATTTGCAATTAATATTAATTTGTTAATAAAAATTCAAATTGACTACAAAGTCAATAAATTTTGGTAGACATAAATATGTCGCAAGTCAAACTGTCATAGTACTGCCAGAAATATAACGAAAATTATGCAAATTCAAATTTTTTTAATTTGAATGTTAGAGCATTACTAACCGCGGAAAATATTGTGAGTAATTATTAATTTTTGAATAATTTTCATCTCTGAAAAATTTATTCCTTGTGAAAAATTATGAACAGCTGCCGTGTTAGCCCGAATGGTAAAAATTATTTGCTACCACTCGTTGACCTGTTTCAAATGCCGTCCGACCAAGACCACCTGTGCCTAAATCTCACAAACGAATGCTTATATCGTGTGCAGTTTCATTGCGAATGATATGATTCATAAGAAGTGACATAGATCTAGACTTGACTGAGTTATTTAATAAAAACCAAAACATAATTAATAGTTGAAAGGTTTAACTGTGAAGAAATATTGTGCGTTAAAAAGATGGGCACAGTTACTAGCGGTGGAAGAAGTATGAATACTAACATGCTCTCCAGCAGATGTACGGCAGCATCCTCCTGTTCCTCATCCTCCTGAAGCAGAACCCTTGCCATCGACCTCGCTTCTCAACTTTTTTCTTGACCGGTTCCCTTTCTACGTAATAAATTTTGCCTTCTCTTTCTTCGTTTGTTGGATATGCAGCTGAACTGGGCATCAGTTCACTTTGTATGTAGCTAATGTTAGGCTCATTGTCATTGGTGTTTTCGTTGCTTAATGAAGGGTTCTTGTCGGCACCATCAAGCAGCACGACATCGTCGTCGACGTTGTTGTTGTTGTTCCAAGCTGACAGCGGCTGCTCTTTCAAAAGGTTCTTTTTCAAATTCTGTTAGTATTATTTGATGATTATTTCTACAACTTGAAATTCTAACATTTGCAAAGTATTTGCATGTTTCTTCTGAAAAATATTCAAATTTTTTCAGTTTGTTGTAATTTTTAGTTCAAGATGGTTCAATTTTCATTTAGGAAATAAAATGCTGTTTGAACGCCAGCTATAATATCAGTGAAATGTTCAATGTCTATTTTTAAGAACGAAGTGTATAAAAAACGATAAGACAATTTGAGTGTAACGAGCAATAAAGTGATCAAATATGTGCTGGCAACGTGGAGCAATAGACACTAGACTCAAGAACTGCTGGCAAACGTGAGTCAACAAAACAAATGTTCATTGAGGAGTGCCACTCAACTTGCCAAATCCGTCTGAATATATATCCATATTTTCCCAACTGCAGATATTGCACAACGGCATATTGCTGTATCGTCTGATCATTTTATTTATGCGAGCTAGCACTAGTTGAAACACATTCGTATTGTTCCAGTTAATTAGAAATAATTAAAAACGATTCATCATTTGCCAAAAACTAATTCCCTTTACGCTATAAAAATTACATTATTAAACCAGCAGTCGAATAGTGAAATAAGACTTATGGGGAAATAAAATTTTATTGAATGTGGCGAACGCATTGAAGAACTGGACTGAGTCGCTTTTATTGAGAAGTACTTAATCCTTCTACTGCGACTGCTGCTGCTACTGTGCTTTAATGAATGGTCAGTAAAATGTGCGTAATTCATTTGCTCCATGGATACGTACATGCATTCAGGTCTAATATTATATTAAATGCTCTGTTGTTTTTTTTGTTGTAAACCTCTTTTGTTATGGCTGGTTAACGTGTATTTATTTACACAAATTTACTCAAATTTAAGAATGATTAAAATAATCTTCTTGTTTGTTCTATTTACGAAATAAATAAAAAAGTTAATAGAAATGTTTTCGGATGCATGGACCACCAGGGCATCAGTGCACAATGCTTTTTTTAATTTTTACATTACTTTGCCTTTGTATGCTTACCGCTTCCCACAACAGAATAAAAAAATTAGATTTAACAAAAAAAAAGTCAACTCATGGTATTTCCAGAAACCTTCACGGCAGACCTCCAAAACAAATCACTAACGATAAGGATCTAGGTGTGCTAAAAAAATATTGCTATGCGGTCAAATATGATATAAATTTTTATGTTTATATTTTTTACAAAAAATCAAACAACTGGCATCCGTTAAAATTTAACGTCATTTGAAAATTCCTCAACTACTCGGGAAGCTTGTGAATGTTAAAAAGGATGGTGCCGTTGGCACGTAGGAAGCATTTGAATCATACTTCTCTGCCATTCTCTGCTCACATCCCCTTAAAACTTTGTGAATTCATCTTCACTGACGTGGTGGCGCCGGAAATCGCGCAAATGTTCGTACGATGGAGTGTACTTCATGGTGTGGCGTTGTTATCAAACAAATTGCAACGTTGTCATTGTTGTTGATGTTTTTTTAGTCTTCATTATTGCAACTCTGACATACGCAGAACCACTTACAATGTTAGATATATATCATCTATATATCTTCAATATGTTCTTCATATCTTCATCCATTGATTTTAAGCAGCCATCTTCGCCACAAAGGCTGTTTATCCATTCCACACAACATAACACAAGTATTTATCTGCATCATATACGCTGAGTAATGATAGCCATTGAGATGTTTGACTCAGCGCGCATTTGAACCACTGAGCCAGCTCGCCGGTGTTATTATATTAATTTTATTTATTAGTTATGTTTGGTTGTATTAACTGTACTTAAAAGTTAATAAGCAAATATTATTCATGCCGATTTTTTTCAAATCAGAAAATTCCAGGATGCCCGGCCAGAAATAATTCTTTTTCATCGGTCTCCCGTCAGCCAGGTGACGTGAAATATTTTTTCCTCTCTACGGTGTCAACACGTTATTTATTCCCAGCACGATCCATCATCCTTTTTATAAACACAATTTTCATTACGAACCGCTGTGGCGTAGTAAGATTTTAAAATTAAAAATTATTTTAAATTTAATAAACAACAATAACAAACAAAATAAACCAATAAATTTTTGGAAAGTGATTTTTAAACATCCGGCCATCATACACTCAGCGATAAAACTCATTTGCATTTCGTGAGTAGGAATCGAATACAAAGATAATTAATCAACAAACAAACCGTCAAGCCAGCCAGCCAGCTAACCAACCAGACAGCCAACCAGATTAGCAATGAAGCAACCATCAATCAATTTGTGAAGCAGTCATCTAATATCTCAACACATCAATCAATCCAGATTGTCTCTGCTCTGTACGTTTATTTATTTACCTTACTTTCAAAGATAAGATAATCTCATTTGTATTCGTTCGCTCGCCCGTGTTTGCTTTCTATTATCATCAATATTATTAACATTTTTTAAAAACAATTTTTTATTATTTTTTTATTGTCTTTATTTTATTATTAGCTTGCGTTTGCGGTCAAATTTAAAATGTGAAGCTTGGGAGTTTGTGGTTGATGTCGGTTATGACGTGGTGGCTCACGTGGTTCGGCTGTTGTTTATTCTCTCTAGATACTTCAGCCAGCCAGCCATCTAGCCAGCCAGCCAGCCATCTAGCCAGCCAGCCAGCCATCTAGTCAGCCAGCCAGCCATCTAGTCAGCCAGCCAGCCATCTAGCCAGAACTTTATTTCACACTCCTGCAGCAACACTGAACATTAACCTCTCTTCATATAAATAAATACGACGTTATTTTTAAATCAGATTCTAAGTTTTTTAGAATTCAAAACTTTTTCATTTTTATTTTGAAATATTTTATAAAGTATTTTTGTCTTTATTAAGTCAAAATAATAATATCAAGTCATTGATTTTTATGTGTAACTGTTTAAATAACTTAACGAAAAAATTGGATATAGGCCTTGGGTGTTAGGTGGATGTGCCCTCGCCTTTACTCCTACCAAAACATTTTTGTACCTTGAATAGCAAATGATGTTTAAATTTTTTTTGGTAACGTTTGAACCAACATTAAATTTCACTTGCAAAGATTTTAACCATTTATTTCTCCGTTCAATAATTTTACATTTTATCATCGGCTTAGAAACTGCGCTCAAACCTTTCGTTACTATATGCATAAACATTAAGCATTGATCTCAGAGATGTAAAAACATTACCTAACTGTGCAAACAGACACTCCTATGAAAACATAATTCACCCACGTTACAAAATGAAAACAGCGTTCCAATGAAGTGATAAACGCATACAATAGAAATAAAATAAAGTTATTTAATGAAGGATTCTGGGGCATTAAATTTCTTCGTTATTTTTATTTCGCATTCAAACATTATTTTCATTTCAAAATTAACGAGTTGAAATTTTATTTCAACTTCAGGTCAGCTCTGCCAATGTGTTTCATTGTTGGGTAGAAGCTGCTGCTCCATACTACCAATTTCAATACTGAACAATTATTAGCGCTACTGTGGTACTTCGCTATTAAAAACAACGTGGTGTAAACAACAAACAACACAACAAACAACAACCGAACAACTCAACAGGACCAAACAAGCAACAGCAAAAACAAACAGCAGAACATAACGGAACATAGAATATTTGAACATACCATGAGACGTTCATTAATGCTCATCTTCTGCAGTCTCTTCTGCACATCTCCCAAAATGACAGTGCGATCCATCTTGCTGACGTCATCTTCCTCATTGTTGTTATCGCCGACATCTTCGCCGTCATCATCATCATCTACCATCTTTCCACCAACTTCGTACTCATCAGATATGGAAGATGAAGGAGATGGTGATAATGATGATGATGGTGTCAGATCATTATCATAATCATCTGGAAGCTCGAGCAACTGCGGGTTTTGTTATTAATACGTTTGTTCTCGTTTTGTGCATGTAGGTAGACACGCGTGCTTTGTTTAGAATTGGTCTCAATCAATGTCTCCATCGCATGTGCTGATGTCTTGTAAATGTTGATTAAGTATTTGTTAATGAATGCACACACACACACACACACACACACACACACAAATACACACCCCACACACACACACAAATACACACACACGCACACACACACATACACACACGCGTATTTATAATATTTCTTGCGTTTGCGTACACATATGTGCGTGAAAGTATAGAAGGATGATGTCAGGGTATTTGTCTAAGTACAAGTTCTGTACGACATAGTAGACTAGAACAGTAGTGTTTACCGCTAAACGCTCACACATCTTCAGATGACGTTCATTTTGAGGGGGCGACGCATCCAAATGGACAGGTACATTGTACATCGGCTTATTTCAGTTTTCAAGAAAAAATTATTGTTCTCTTGTCAAAATACTTTCCATATACATCGCAAAAGATAGAGACGAGCAACGTATGCACAGCACACCCACATATACTCATATGCATACAGATAGACCCCGCACATGACTTTACAACGATGACTCACTCGTCTAACATAACATAAGCCTAACATAGGAACATCAACAACACTCAGCAGCAACGACAGCAACGCGTTGCTCAACGTTGTAAATTGATTTATTGCATATTTTCAATGTCGTATCTGTCTATCTTCATAATCGCCACACCACACCACACCTAGCCATAATGATTAAGGCACTGAAGTCATTCTACATGACGTGTTGTTAAAAGAGTTGAATGTCTTTTAGTGTAATATATAACAAACCAAAGATATTTACGTGTAGCTCATTTTAACATACGATTGGTATGGGCGGTGCAATGGTCTAACAGTTAAGTTGCTTCGAGCTTCTGTTGCAGCTACTAGGTTCGAAAGCAAAGAGATGCCCACCTCACATGCAACATAAGTGAGTTGCTGATTCACGTCTGCTTACATACGCTTACATACGCTGGAAAAATATTAACAAGAAAATAGTAAAAAATATTTTCTTATATTCATGGTCATTCATTATTCACCAACTCTCACATTCCTACAATAGCTTTCCATCTCTAGCGTTGTTGGTTCATTATTTTTTTTTTGACATGTTTGTAAGTTTTTAACTTTTTAGCACTTGGATGTATTACTTATATTTCTATCACATTCCATATTTATTGCCTATTCAGAGAGAGAGAGAGAGAGAGAAGAGAGAGAGAGAGAGAGAGAGAGAGAGAGGAGAGAGAGAGAGAGAGAGATAATTCAATTTTCAAGTTTTCAGTTAGGCGATCAGATTTATGAAATAATTTTGGCAGTTTAAAAATTATTTGAAAAATACAAATATCTCCAAAGCACAAAACCTAAATCTCTTAAAAAGCATAAAAACGAACCTCTTAAACAGCTCAAATTTTAAAATCCTGTAAGGTTTGTATAAATACACACACACACACACACACACACAAAACTCAATTTCATCAGCCTAATTGCTGCTGAAGGTCGTTATGTGGATGACGGATTCGCTGATGTAATTCATTGAAGCAACAATGCATGCAACTTTCTATAAATGTTCATTCATTCGTTCATTCATTTATTTTTTCATTCTTTCATTCATTTATTCTTTCGTTCGATTATTCATTCATTTGTTCGTTCATTCGTTCGTTCATTCATTCATTCATTCGTTCGTTCATTCGTTCGTTCGTTCATTCGTTCGTTCGTTCGTTCATTCATTCATTCATACATTTATAAAATCACCCTTCGCATTTAATCGGCTACCTTGTATTTAATTAAGAATTATTAAATTAGCACCCCGTCAAATTACTTCGGTCAGTCACAAAAATGTTCATTACCATTTTAACCGAAGACTTGGCTACCTTCATATTTCCCAATCTTATTTTGTTAAAAGCAAAATATTATACAATGCCAGACATGCATCCATCTTTAACAAAATTTAGTCTTGCTTGACAGGTTCCTATTTCAAAAATTTGAATAAAGATCTCGTTATCATATCGTTATAGTCTCGTTATTTCTCGTTATTTTTGACAGTTTTTCATGTCGTCTTGTTTCATTCGAGACAAAATTCCAATATTGCATCGAATCGTATCGTTTTAAACGGATAACAAGATGCAGATGCTTATTAGATTAGACCAAGGCAGTCCTCTCCTTTCCCGGTACAACCAACCACAGACAGGGCTGGTCACGTCTCAGAATAGGAGAAAGTTGTAGCAAGACTAAAATGGCGAAACGTTTGGCAAAAATTTAAATAATAAATTACTAAAATGGCGAAACGTTTGGCAAAAATTTAAATAATAAATTAAAAAAAAATATCTCTAAACTTTTTTTATTTCAACAAACAATAAAAAAATTTATCAAACAAGTGTTCAACGTCAAAAAACATGTCAAAATACAAGTCAAAAGCAGAATGCCATTCGGGACAAAAATGTAAAATTGAAAATTAAAAAAGCTGTTGAATTTTTAATTTGATTGAACATTTTATAACAGGAAAACTTTTGGCAAAATTTATTATTGGAGGAAAGTGGGATCTGATATAAAATAAAGTAAGCTAATGTGTGAGCGAATGAATGAGTGAGTGAATAAATGAGTGGGTGAATGAATGAGAACGATCCTGTAGAAAAGACCATTGGCAGCCTTAACATACAACTAGTCTAAGCAATATTTGCATAAAAGCTATTAAGAAATTGTTTGTAATAACATTTATCGTGCAAACATCCAAACAAGCAACTTTAAAAAAAATACGAACGTGTGAACATTAAACAAACTAACCTAGCAAACATACGAACATTCAAAAACATATTCAAACACAGATACAAACACACATACTAAATACAAACTTATAAACGTGCAACCAAACACACATGCAAATTTTGCAGACATACAATGATATACGCGATTTGTTTTTTTTTTAAATATTCAAATAACTCTCCGATGGTCACTTAAGCGCCACATAATTTTCTGAATTTTTTACTTTCTCTTCATAGTTTTGAAATTCAAATGGATGTCAACCATTTTTAGGATTACATATTTTAATAGTGGATATATTTAACGACGAATGTTGAAAAAATTTTAAAGATTGTTTTATAAAAAAATCAAAAATGAAACATTACGCAACACTTTGAAAAAGAAAAAGGGTAGAGATATTTTTACACGTCTAGTAGGGAAAGCAATTTAATTTTCAGGCGCCTAAATGTTCCAGTGGCATTAAGAGACACGAGTGCGAATCTTCAGTCATCATTGCACTTTCGTCTGGTATCTACTCATCATTACGATTGTTGTCTCATGTTTTTGTAAACATGTCGTTGTTTGTTTGTTTTGCGGTTTTTATGTCATTGTTGATGTCTTTAAATGTCGGTTTTATTGTATGATCGACACTGATGTTGTTACGCTGTTTTTATTGTTAATGTCTTTGTTTTTAATGTCTTTGATTTTAATGTCTTTGTTTTTAATATCTTTGTTGTTAATGTCTATGTTCCCGTTTAGTTTCACCAACATTGTTGTAATTGTATGTTTCGTAATGTTTTTAATACGCGAATAGCACATTTCTATACAATCTCAACATTAACTTTATTGCATTTTAATGGTGATTAAAAATAAAAATGTAATTTTTTGAAAATGTTTTTTCATCAATGTTAAGTTTTCAGCTAAAAAATAAATAGCCACTTAGTCGATTCACATTAAATACAAATACAAAGACGTACACATTCCCTTCATATACACAAAATACACATTCCCTTCATATACACAACATACACATTCCCTCCATATACAAAGACATACACCAAAGTGAATGCGCGGAACAGGCTTCTATCAATATTAAAGTAACACTACTTCGGCACATTTATTTCGTTTATATGGACAATTATAAGCAAATTAACAATAATAAAAAAAAATAATAACAATCTACGGTAAAAATATACCTCATCTATCAGTGAAACATTCAAATTCACTCATTTGAAAGAATGCTGACTAAAAAAACGAAATGAATGAAATGTATCTCATAGAGTGACTTATAGAAAAATAATTGGTTGAATAATTTTCAGTGGTTGGCTGCGTAATTGCTTTTACGTGCGATATATTATTATAGAAAGAAAGTTAGTTAATGAACTGAGCATATATATATCTAGTTTAATTTATACAATTATACAAAAACAACAACATCAACGTGAAGAACAACAACAACATCGTAATCATCCACCCACTACCAACAACATAATTTTTATGATTGTTGATGTCCGATTATTTATTATCAATAGACAGCCGGAAAAAACCAACGCAACCATTATAACAGTGGCCCTAATTCATAATTTAAAATGCAATAATGATCATGCAAATTGAACATAAAATAGAAAAAGCATGCAATTGTTTGGCTGGTGGCATTCATTTAGTTTTGTTTCCCCAACAAAAGCTCTTAGATGCGTATCGATCAACTCATACGATTTATGTCTATGCTGTTTAGTTGTTTCGTTAGTGAGCAAATTTGTTCTGTATCTCACAATTTATATAATTTATCTTTGCATTATTACCATCAACTAAACTGGATTAAATTAATTATTTCGTGTAAAGGATCATTAAGGTTATCTCGGAAAAATAGGACACAAAATTTATGACTTGAAAATAATAATTGTGCGGATGACAAATTGAATTAGGGAAAAACAATCGCCCAAGAACGGAAATGAATGCATTGTCATTTGCAGTTGTGAGTGGATGTTGGCGTTCCTCTTGCTTTCGAATGTAACAATTACATTTTTACTTTCTTTTTATAAAACATTGGATCGAAAATTTTATTGCTACTGCTGTGGCCGTGGCACATGAAGTAGTTGAAGTTGTGGGACTTAAAGTGGTTGAAGTTGCGGTACTTGAACGCCGTCACAATCCAACGGTATGCTGTTCATTGCATTTGATTTTTCGCCAACACCAGCATTCTTATAAGTTAGTGCCTGACTAATCCTAACTTTATTTCAACAAAACTTGTCAAAAACATTCATTCCTAAAATCAAATTTTAAGAAATTCGTTACGTCAGGCTCGTGACATGATTAAAAAACGTGATATTAAAAACAAACAAAATATATAAATACAAATATGACAAAAAAAGAATAATGAAAGTCTGAATTGAGAATGTAGAAATACTGGAGGAGGCTGGGCACAGATGAATGGACTAATAATTTATTAGGCAAAACACAAGCGATAAATTCACTCACAGATGAATCTATTAAATGTAACAGAAGAGAGAGAGAGAAAGAGAGAGAGAGAGAGAAAGAAAGAGAAAGAGAAAGAGAGAGAGAGAGAGAGAGAGAGAAACAGTTTCATTATCATGTGAGTGGATGTTGTTGCTGTCGTTGCAGATGTTGTAGTTGCGGCAGCGGATATAGACCAAATGAATAATTGAACAATGTTTGTGAGGCCACCTTGCAAGTAAGTAAGTAGGTAAGCAAGAGGTGACTCGCGTGAAATAACAAAAAATATTTTTTTGTCGTTGGTTGTGAAGTTGTTCTTTGTTGCGGTTATTGTTTCTGTTCTTGTT